TTTTTGATGTAGCTAATTCTTCTAAACCTAGGTCTTCATCGGGGCTGCACGATAACGCATCATGATATAATCGCAATTATACGGCGCATGTGCAATAATCACCTGGGCTTCAAAGAAAACCGGTAAACCTTTGTCCAGACGCCAGCTTTTCGGTACTAACGGATGTTTACTTACAGCCACATTTTTGGTAAGCAGATGAGTAGCGCACCTAAAATATTAATCAGAGGCATATTGTGACTCCATGTAAAGCCCTGGTGATTTCTGTGCATGTGCTATATAATTGCAATGTAATATCGTGCAGCCCTCGTCTTCATAGTCAAATTTTTAATAATCAAATGTTGTTTTGAGGCTGCAATAACAAAACGAATCCATCTTGGCTTGTTCAGCCATGGCCTCAGACGACGTACTGGGCATGGTACCGTTCCTCACTCGCTGGTGTTCCTTCCATCGGCTTTGCTCTTCCAGGGACGAGACCCCTGCTTCATACCTGCATGTGTGTCTTCCCGAGGTGGCTATGCAGCTGGATCTCCTCGGGGATCTCCACGGACTTGGCGCCCACGTACTGCAGCAGCGGTGCCGGCACGCCCGTGTCCCACGTGGTGATGCGCGGCTGCGGCTCCACCAGGTCGCCCCAACGGCCCTGCAAGTTGGTCGGCGGCGGACTGTAGAGCGTCATGTTGGCCAGCCGCTCGTTCAGCATGTTGTAGTGCGACGTCTTGATCTCCACGACTTCCGCCTCCGTCATCAGGCCCTCTGAGATCAGCAGGTCGCTGTACGTGTCCGGGATGCTCTTCCTGGAGCTGAGAAGAAATCATGATCCGGACCGAAGTGTCAGAAAACCTCCGTAAGTGGTCCTGCAGTGGCCTGGTACTGGTCAGAGACCCACCGGATGATCTTGTACATGGTTGGGTTTGTGAAGAAGGGCTCGTCCAGCTCATTGTGGCCCCACTGTCGGTAGCACAGGAGGTCCACGATCACGTCCTTCCGGAAGCGGTGCTGGTACTCCACTGCCAGACGCGTGGCGCGCAAGACCTCCTCCGCGTCGTCGCCGTTCACATGGACCACGGCACAGCCAACCATCTTACCTGTGCAGGAAGGTGCAAGTCAATAACGAGTTAACGAGTCATTAATGAGCCAATAACAAACTATTCTCCCCATTACAGATACTGTCAGTATCAGATGTCACTCATGGACTTTGTAAAACGTTATGAAAATGTATTAAAACGTCTTACACACCTATGTCACTGCAGTACAAAGATGACCTCCCCCTCTCGGACGGCGTGGTATAACCCACTTGGTTATTTACAATAAGGTGGATGCTTCCACCGACTCTGAAATGTGGGAGGCTTGAAATGGTAAATGTTTCAGGAACGATGCCTTGGCCTGAGAATGAGGCATCACCGTGCACCTGCAATTTTGGAAATAAGGGAGAAGCAGCACACCTTTACTTATAAGCAGGTACGGTTTTATTATTAAACATTAAAATGATTTTATATTGCAGTTTATATTGCATAGCATAAACACTGTATTTATATGCACTACGGACAGGTAGTGGTTCTGATGTCATGAATGACACAGGTGTAGAAAGTCGTGAAGTCATATGCCCTGTACCTGCAAACAGATGACCCTGTTCCCTGTACCTGCACACAGATGACCCTGTACCTGCAAACACATGACCCTGTCCCCGGGCTGGGCGTTGCTGTCTGATGAATAGTCCCCTTCCTGCCGGACCTGCTGCCTGCCACGGACCTTGCCTTGGGTCACCGGGTTGATGGCCTCCAAGTGGGAGGGGTTGGGCAACATGGTGACGTGCAGAGGCTTCCCCGCCCCGAAGTCCAGTTCCACTGAGGAGGTCAGGTGGGACAAGACATCCCCGATGGATGGGGAGTTCTCAGGAAACTCGCTGAGGCCCCTCATCTTCCTGAACATGAGCTGGTGAGCATGAGGCACGATATGAGGCAGGATCCAGATACCAACCTGTTCAAAGGAACCACTTTCACAATAATATATTTATATGACAAGGTGTCTGACCTCAGGAGGGAACTGCAGGAGCCCAGTCAGGAGGTTCAGTCTCCCACGGTGGGGCATCCCCATGATGATGTCTGTCACCCCACTGCATGACACCAGGCGGAACAGCTCAAAGAAAAATCCCATCATGCTCTCTGCTCCCTCGGCACTGTACCGCTTCACTGTGGCAAATTTGGTAGCCAGAAAATGGTCAAATTCCTGAGATAAAAAAAAAAGTACAAACAAAATTCATACAGATGGATCAGAAACTATTTAGAATTTATAACCAAATTATGTCTTCAGGCCTAGATCGCTACACAATAGATAAAATGTAGTATACAGACTTTCAGCCTTCTTGGGTGAGACGTATATTTCAATAGGACAGCGAATGCATGTTTGGCATGACCAGGGACATGGGTGACACTGAGGTTCCCGTCATACCTGAGATTGTAGCATTAGCCGGGCCAGCTGCCTGCGCTCTTCAGGAGAAAACGTCTCCTTCTTCAGCTCTTCGAACCGGTTGGCCACCCACTCCCTCTCAGCCAACGTCTGCAGCTGACTGGTCTCTACAGACACCCGGCCGCAGTAGGTATCGTGCAGGTAAGCGGTGACATCCTCGAGGGACGCTTCTGGCTTGCCAAAATGTCTTAGGCCTTCGAGGATAAGAGGAATTGAGATGCAATTCTTCACAAGTAGCTCTCATATTCATAAATCACTAGGGGACATACTGCAGCTTCCTGGCCAAGTTCAAGCATTCTCAGACTGAGAAGTAGTTGAATAGGCACAAAATTGTTACTAATTAACAATAAACAACTCAGTAGAAGCTGGCTACAATCTAACATTTTATCACATTTGAAGGTTTATAATTCAGCTACATTAACACAGTCATGTACAAAAAAAGAATTTAAAAAAGACCCGCACCGCTGGTGTTGAAGGGACCCCGAAGCGTTTCGGTTAAAATGCTGATTTCAGGAACATTGTCGACGACGCCTTTCTCCGGGAGTAAGGGGTTAATTTTAGCTGACTTGTGCCCGTGTTCCCGATACGCCTCGACCAGCCGTGCCAGTCCATGATCTGGAGGGTTGGTTAACAGCGTTACATATTTGACAGTGTAAACAACAAAACTATCAATAAATCTCAGAAAAAACACACATATTTGTCAATCAACACTCACGCATGTATTGTCCAATAAATTCACATTAGAATTTTTTTATGTTTATAAATCTTAACATTAATAAAAACTGAACTGACACGCATCAGCGATTACAGCACAAATATTTCTGTGCGGTTACGTTTTTCATGGCAGTACCGCGGTGTAAACATAACACTTCTGAGAAAACGTGAATACAATTTCTACCATTAATTAATAACAAAACGACTGCAACGTTGTGCGTAAGGAATACTATTCCAAGTCTTCCAAAGACGCTTCCCCTAGTGCTACATGCAATTTAGTTCAGGTTGTCACGTTGAAAATGTAAGTTTTCTGTGTTGATAATGAAGAACAGAACTCCGATTATCACTTAAAAAACGAGAATGTGCGTGTGAACATAATGCTGTACAACAATGCCTATATACAGGGGAGGTCAATGTTTTAGTACGCCAACCCCCCGCCATATAAATGTGTATTTATTGGCTTAAGTCACGAATAGCTTTTTATATGTTTGCCATCGCCCCCAAGTAGAATCACCCCTCTATCCATCCATCCATCCCTAACTACGACCCTGCTATGTATGTCTGAGTGAAATCGATGTGAAAGCTTGATACTTCAGTGATCGAATGAACGTAACATTAGCGCTGTAAGCGCTGTCGTGTGACACTCAGTGAAACACTCCTTTACATGCGTGTCACTGTCATGAAAAATGTAACAGCAAAATTCACTTTATGCTGTAAACCCCTCATCTAATACGTGCGGTAATCTCACGTAATCACCTTGAGATTATTAAATGATCGTTTTAAATTAATAAATAATAAACATTTATGGTCATTTCAAACAAAAAAAAACATTTAAAAATACTAATTTTAATGACTGATGCAGCCAGCTACACATTAGGCCAGTAAAAACAAGCGTGTGAAATAAGCATTTTGAAGTGTTAGTACACCCCCCGTACGATCCCCCAACCTTGGATGAGTGAGGAGCTGAGTTCGGTCTCCTGTTGCTTCTCTCCGGGACCGGCTCCCCTGGGTCTGTAGCCATAAACCCCCTTCTCGGTGTGATACAGGGCGCTCAGCGCCGGCCGAGCTAAGCGGAGACAGGGCCTGCCGGCTAGATGCATGCTAGTTTAGCGATCACGAAGGCTGATAGCTCGGCCTTGGTTCACTGCTTTAACATATATATGGCTGTATATAGACGTATAATAAGAACCGCGGGCAGGCTTATACAACACACGGCAGAAAAGCCACACTCCGCCGAAACAATGGGTGGCGACGCTTCCTCGGCCCACGATTGGTTGAATCGGTCGCACGGCCTCGTCTTATTGGCCCACTCGCTGTCCCGGTCAGCCAGCGCAGCGCAGTGGATCCTGGGGCCATCGGCCACTAAGCAGTGCCGCAAGGGGACAAAAACGTGACAGACGACTGTTACATTTTACATTTTTATTCCCTTTGCTTACTAATGTGTAATGTCCTCCAAAGTCCCATTTTATAAAAATGTAATTATGTTTGACTTAGTAAATAATGATAATCGAGTATTGGGTTCCAGTCCCTTTTTATTTCTGCGTAACATATTAACAGTACACAAACAGTTCTGAAGTTTTAATACAAACTTTGCAAGGTCATTCTATTATTGTATGGTATTAGTAAAAACTACATAAGTTAAGATAATTTCATGTATTCTTTTAATTTTGTCACCTTTTTTAATGTCGGTCAGACTAAAGTGAATCTCTTAAGGCATAAACAGCGGGTTTTTTTTTTTTTTTTTACAACTGTCACGTTTAAATTCAGCGATACAGCAGCCGAGGCGTCCTCGTATTTCTGTTATAGGCACAGAGTTGTCATCGGCCGGTATGAAAAGGCCCTTTTTTTATCAGGCACCTTGCAGGCCACCTAACTGAGGTGGTCCTTCAGCGACCGAGAAGGCTGCTTCACCCACTAAACAGACCCGATGTTTTTGTTGAGGAAAATGAAGGTAACGATAGTTGAAATTCATTTTGATTTCTGGCTTTGAATTTTGAATATAATTAAGTATTTTTATGATTGTATAGGGATCAATTAATTGTCGTGATAGTTGATTTAGCAGAATCTAATTTGCCAGCTTGCTATGCTACTTTGTTTATCATTGATTCTCTGTAGCTATCTAGGCCTGAAGACATAATTTGGTTATAAATTCTGTTGTGCGGGAAGAGTTATTGCATGCTTTTTCTGCTGAAGTGTGTGGTCATATTGGGGAAACCATTTATTCGTATAGCTACCGAACAGCCTAAATGTCCTTTCCATCAAAGGCCTAAACGAATAGGTCGCTGGCAGTAGTGTGTGCGGAAGCACGACAGGTTTCTTTGAGAACCCTGAAGCGTTTGGCTGGAGACTTCGTGTATCTATTCATAATAACAACTATCGCCTACAAATGAATTCAGTGAGCATGTCACGTTGTTAGCTTTAAGATTAAGCAGAGGTCGCCTACAAACGAATTCAGTTTACGGATGAGTATGAATTTCGTCAGATTTAAACATATCTAGAGTGCGTTGTTTTTGCGATGTGAATGTCGGAGGTCTAACTTTTTGACGCTATGGGCTCGCGCACTTGTCGCGCGGGCAGATGACGGCTGGCGCGTGTTGTGCTCCTTGACTAACCAGATTACTTTTAAATAACCAGTTGTTCGTACATCTTATCAGTTAAACCAAAATTAAAGACTCTTAGGTGTGAATATTCAGTCCTTTTGAATTCAGATCTGGTCTGTATACGAAACTAAATAACTGGCTTTTAAAATATATTGAAACTTTTGTTTAATTTCATATTAGCACATTATATGACAGTAGGGAATTGTGTAGTTATGGAAATTGTATGAACAAGAAAAATAGTATTTAGAATGTTGATCCTCTCTTTGCAGTATGCCTGCTGAAAGCAAGAAGCCAGTAAACATGGACGAGAAAGACGTGTGCGTTTTCAGCAACAAGGACAAAGAGCGAGCGGCGGAGAGCCGTCCCTCTTCGTCTCGGGAAAAGGGGAAAGAGGACACCAAGGTGAGCGGGAAGAAAGATAACGGCAAGGCGGCAGCGGCGGAGGAGAAGAGGAGGAGGCTGGAGGAGGAGAGGAGAAAGAAGGAGGAGAAGGAGCGCAAGAAGAAAGAAGAGGAGAGGCTGAGGGTGGAGGAAGAGCAGAAGAAGAAGGAGGAGGAGGAGAAGAGGCAGCAGGAGGAGGTGGAGAAGAGGATGCAGGAGGAGGAGGAGAAGAGGCAGCGTGAGGAAGAGGCGGCACGACTGAAGTAAGGGGGCAGCTATGGAGATCTTGGGGTTAGGTGAAACGCAGGGTTGGGCTGGGGGTGTCTGGGCACCTGCTCCTTTTGTCACGGTCATTGGAAGTGCCCCCCTTTGAGGTTTTAAGTACCTTTTTTAGTACTATAGGTTTTCTGTGGGATCTTCATTATATAAATGTGTGTTTTGCGTCACACTTTTACAAATGCGTACTTACTGGGATGTGAGTCTTCTCATAAGGTTTTACCTGGAGTGGGGAACCTGTTCCATGATGATGATGATGATGATGATGATGAAAACCCTTTATTGCTTTTGCAATACACCATGTCACTAGTCACAAGTACCAGCGAAAAAACTGGCCATCAACCCGACCATACATATACATAAACATCACATTATAGGGGGTAGACAGGTCAGGAAGACAGGGGATATAGGAAAAAAACACCTCAGCAACATAAGCACATGGTCACTACACCTTACAACATAAAAAGTTGTGACTTGCAACAGGGGAGGTAGTCCAGCATAGACAAACAGCCATCCAGTCCTGCAGCCCCGCCTGTTCACGCTGAGGGTATGAAGCGGTGAAGGCGTGGGATGGGGGGAGGGTGCGGTGAGTGTGTATCTGTACGTATGTATATGTGTGTGTGTATCCAGGTGTCCTTGGGATTGGGGGAGAGGAATGCAAGAGTGTCTCACTGCCTTGTTCTTCCGGGGGAGTTGTTAATTCAGAAGTTGCCTTGGCCAAGGGGGAGCTAAAAGCAGATAGAATAGGGTTGTTTGGGTTTTCGGGTGAGAAGCTGTAATTTCACAGCTCTTCTAATGTTCACGCTGGTCTCTGCCATCCAAAATCCTGTGCAAAGCTGTGGCTTCTCCGTGATGTTATCCAATTGCGATCAATAGTCACAGTGATGTTATCCAATTTGTGATCAGTAGTCACAGTCTGAGTGCTAACAGCTCTGCCTATTCCATCAATCATTCCGGTCAGCCTAGTGGGGCTTTGAGCGGCTGTCACCGTTTTCTTCAATCTTCGATAAACCAGGGCGATGCCTAATCCAATCAGCATCAGACCTGTAATCATGGTTCCGAATAGGTAGATCTTCGATGTCCTCCATGGAAATAGCTGCCAGACACACGACCCTCCACTTCTCCCATCCGTCCATCGTGCAGCCAGCTGCATACGTTCCTGCAGGACAATCAGGTTCCCCCGAATCTGGGCTTCTCGTCGAGAAGATGGTGTCAATTGCGTTGAGAGACCAGTTGATGAAATCCATATTTTTCTTAGTTTGGAGAGCAGGGCTGAGAGAGTCTCTCAAGTATAAGACAGTAGACGAGACGAGACGAGAGGAGCAAAGCAGAGAAGATAAGGGGAGGGAGAGGGAGAGAAGTGCGTCCGCCTCCACTGAGAGCCAAGTGGGTGTGGGTTTTTGGGATGGCTTCTCGATCAGCCAATATCAGTGGGTCCCCAGGACTGTAGTTGAGAACCATTGTTCTGTGATTGGCTGACTGAGAAAAACCCGCACTGGTCCTCCGTGGAAGAGGTTCCCCACCCCTGGTTTATAAAGTTATTCAGGACAGTGCTGATTATTTACCTTTTCAGTAAAACCTTTGAACTTCCCCTGTGTGCCGCCTCTCCAAGCCTTCTCCATCTGCCCCCCACAGAGAGAAGGAGGAAGCGCACCAGCTTCACCAGGAGGCCTGGGAGCGCCACCACTCCCGCAAGGACCTGCGCAGCCGGAACCAGAACGCGCAGGACTCGCGGCCTGAGGAGGCCTTCTTCAGCCGCCTGGACTCCAGCCTGAAGAAGAACACGGCGTTCGTCAAGAAGCTGCGCACGCTCACGGAGCAGCAGCGCGATTCGCTCTCCAACGACTTTGCCTCGCTCAACCTGAGCAAGTACATCGCCGAGGCCGTGGCTTCCGTGGTGGAGGCCAAGCTGAAGATCTCCGACGTGGGCTGCGCCGTGCACCTCTGCTCCTTGTTCCACCAGCGCTATGCTGACTTCGCCCCGCTCCTGCTGCAGGCCTGGAAGAAGCACTTTGAGGCCCGCAAGGAGGAGAAGATGCCGAATGTAAGCAAGCTTCGAACGGACCTGCGCTTCATCGCCGAACTCACCATCGTGGGCATCTTCACCGACAAGGAGGGCCTGTCGCTCATCTACGAGCAGCTGAAGAATATCATCAACACAGACCGTGAGGCGCACACGCACGTCTCCGTGGTCATCAGCTTCTGCAAGCACTGCGGGGACGATGTCGCTGGCCTCATTCCTCGCAGGGTAAAGGTAGCGGCAGAGAAATTCGCCCTGGGCTTCCCTCCGAGCGAGATCATCAACGCCGAGAAGCAGCAGCCCTTCCAGAACCTGCTCAGGGAGTACTTCACCTCCCTTACCAAGCACCTGAAGAAGGACCATCGCGAGCTGCAGAACATCGAGAGGCAGAACCGGTGAGGCACCAAGCAGACTTAGCGTGTTCTTGCAGGGTGTCAAAAACATAGTGAAATTCAGGGATTTTGGCTAAAAAATATTGCTGTGTTCATAAGGCGCTTTTTCATGCAGCGCATAATGTTTAAAAGGGTTAGCAGTCAACGCCGGGAATTGTATTCCTTACTCTGAATATACACCGTTGTGTAAGTCAAAAATTCCAAATGGACATAAAATGCGGACACCTTAGGGTAGGAGCAGTTTCCCATTTACTAGGTCTGTTCAAACGGTAATTTCCCGCATGCAAAGCATAAGAGCTCCCCATTCACAAATCAGCATCCATGTTTATACCTTTCTGTGGGTGGCAGCCCTAAATGAACTCACCAGTCATTCCGATTAGCTCACCTCTTTGTTCCTTGTTCGCTGCCTTTTCAAGGTTCCTGGAACAGGGCCCCTTAGTTCTGTCCTCATCCACTCGTATATCTTTGTTTATATGGTATTCTATGTTATATGAAAAAGTGAATAAACATTTCAAAGGGATAGAAGTTGATTATGATAAATTGGAAAAATTATGTCCCAAAAGTATTGATTATCACACCATAATTATTGTTGATATTTCTTCACCTGCGTACACACTGTTGTACATATAAGCATAGTGAAACGAGTTTGATATGTCTATGAACATCATGGGGGAAAAAAGTCTAACTGAATATGATATATGCCATTAGCAAAACAGGTGCATCAAGTACACTGATTTCCTTTCTTCTAAAGACACACACACCTACAGGTTAGAGTGAAGGCTGAGGTCAGAGCGCAGGGTTGGTCATTTATCTGGCTCCCTGGAGTATTGGTGGGCTATTCGTCAGTATTGGTATTCTTTGCTGGTCCATCACTGTGTGATTACATCTGCTGCCCCCCCCCCCTTTTTCAAAGTGAGATGACAATGTCCTCTGTTTGCATCTTCAGCCGTATCCTACATTCCAAGGGCGAGCTCAGCGAGGACCGACACAAGCAGTACGAGGAGTTTGCCACATCCTACCAGAAGCTGCTCGCCAGCACGCAGTCCCTGGCGGACCTGCTGGATGAGAACATGCCAGAACTACCCCAAGACAAGACCGTTCAAGAAGGTAGTAGGCTGTGTTTTAGGACCCCGGGATCTATCAGAGCCTTGTATACAGACACCCCTGCCTGTGTTTCTGTGCGTTATTGCGTTCTGCTTAGTATCTCTGCCATGTTTTATGGTGTTTATAACCAGCGACTGACATAACTGGTACACGGGTATGCATTCGCGGTATAAAGGGGAAAGTGTGAGGTAATTTATCATCTCAGCTAAGTGTTTACTTCTTTTTGCTGTTAAGAAATAATGAAATTACTGCCTCTTTTATCCTTAATACTGTGAATGCGTACTTGTGTACCAGATATGTCAATCAGTGTTTATATTGCTGGTGGGATTTTGTACTCGTCATTGAGAGTATTATTGGACTTCAGTATAGTCAGTATTGTCAGAGTATTAAGCTTCAGTATTGTTGGGTCTTCTTGGCCACACCATACATCTGTTTTGCTAAATTCTCAGTGTTGATTTTTCCTGCTCTGCGCTCACTAAAATAATATTTTGAAGGAATAATGTTTTAAAAGTCTTCTGTGATCTTAGCTTTCTCGTCAGTTGCAGTTTTGCCCCCAGTCTGACAGGCACTCATGGTGCTCCTCTGTGGGTCCTTCTGTGTTTCAGAACATGGCCCCGGCATCGACATCTTCACTCCAGGGAAGCCGGGGGATTATGACCTGGAAGGAGGCATTTGGGAGGACGAGGATGCTCGCAACTTCTACGAGAATCTGGTGGACCTGAAGGCCTTTGTCCCTGCCATCTTGTTCAAAGACAACGAGAGGGCTCGCGACAAGGAGGAGGCCAAAGGTATGGCGCTCACCGTCCAGTGAGGAGCGTCTTGGGATTCCCTTCAGATGACGGTCACTGCGAACGTGGTGGCTGCACTGCATGTACTGTCGCCTGTTAGTCAGTAGTGTGTTTGTGCTACGTGATGCCACAGATACAAAGGATGGGAAGGAAGTTAAGGAGGTGAGCGGGACAGAGGAGCTGGAACTGGAGCTGGAGACGCTGGACATCGCAGATGACGCCCTGGAAATGGAAGGAGCTGACGAGGTTGACGGTGATGAGCTTGCCAAGAAACTGCTGGATGAGCAAGGTGGAGTGGGCCTTCAGAAATGTCTGTTTTAATTAAATAAGCGATTTGATGGTGGTTTTATCAGGGCACCTTAAGTGAATTGGAATTGTGCAAGTTTCCCATTTCCATGGGAAGTCTGTTCACTAGGTAGTGGTTTGTAGATTTCTGGTGGCCATGAATGTTTGTATCAGAGTAGTGATACGGATAGGTTGCAGTGATCAGGGGAAGACGGCTAATCACTCCAGAGTCATGTTTGGCATTTCCAGACCTGGAATGGTTTATGGCTCAGAAGATCTGGTAGATGGAGTCGCTAAACCATGTCATGAAATCGAGCATTTGCCCACAGGATAGAGTATGACAAGGACAGTGGTGGAAGGCACCTCTATGTTGTAGCCTTGGTCGTAGTAAAACATATATTTTTTTCCCCCCCCACAGAGCAAGAAGATGAGGAAGCCAGCACAGGGTCCCACCTAAAGCTCATTGTTGATGCCTTCATCCAACAGCTGCCCAACTGTGTCAACAGAGACCTGATAGACAAGGTAGGGTAACAACAGGACAGTGTAGCACCCTGAGTAGCTGCTATTTTGACCTTGTGGGGACATATTTTCATTGAACCGTTTTTTTTTATATATTGATTTGAACCGACGACGCAGATGAAATAAAATGACAAAACATGTTAAACGCAATGCACTATAATTGCATTGTCCACACTGAAGATGCACATCTGAGCTGTTGCTGTGCCTGTCTTCCTATCAGACCATATATCCAGCTCTTAATGACAAAATCACATGGTTACTCAAGTGTTTTAACTGAAGAACGTGTTTACTGCACCTTCTGGTGGGTCCAGACTGTCCGAGCTGTCAGGATTGATGTGTGCCGCTTTTCATGTTTGCAGGCTGCAATGGATTTCTGCATGAACATGAACACAAAGTCCAACCGGAGGAAACTTGTGCGAGCGCTCTTCACCGTCCCAAGGCAGCGGTGAGATAGTCCTCCAGCTCCCTGAAATTGTTGATATTGTAATAGCATCTTATTTCATTACTTGGTCTTGCACAATTTTGGGAAAACTTTAGGTCACCACAAGGTGGCAGTGTTCCCTAGCTTAGCTACTTGTTTCTGAAACGTGTGTTACCGTACCCTACATGCTACGCTTGTAATTTAGCTATTAGATGTGAAAAGGTACCAGTGCTGTTTGTGTTGAGCTGCCGTGAATAAACTCTTGTTGTGGTGTCAGTGTGTCACATGACCAACGTCACGCGTTTCTCCTGTTGGTCCCACAGGCTGGACCTTCTGCCCTTCTATGCCCGGCTGGTCGCCACACTGCACCCCTGCATGTCTGACGTGGCTGAAGATCTGTGCTCCATGCTCAAGGGCGACTTCAGGTTCCATGTATGTCTCTCAATGCTAACATCTTTAGCAGCAGTTTAGCGTGAGCTTGGTTCAACCACGTCCTGTTTGTATGGATGTGTGGAGCGGTGATGCAGGACTAAAATTGGTGGTTTATGAGAATGAGAGCGATTTTTATTCATTACCAGCTATATTTTCTCCTGCAGTTTTCCTATTATTTTTAAACCACATTTGGGCTTTTGCAGATAAGAAAGAAGGACCAGATCAACATTGAAACAAAGAACAAGACCGTGAGGTTTATTGGAGAGCTAGCTAAATTCAAGATGTTCTCCAAGACGGACACCCTTCATTGTCTGAAGGTATCACGTTGTTATGCTTTTTCTTGCCACACAATGTAGCCGTCAGTCATGGTTTCCGTTTTGGGTGGATTCTGATTTATTTTTAATGATGTGCTTTATATAGCTCATGTTTAACGCCTTTGTCCTCTTGCAGATGCTGCTGTCAGATTTCTCCCATCACCACATTGAAATGGCGTGCACCCTGCTGGAGACGAGCGGACGCTTCCTCTTCAGGTCTCCAGACTCGCACCTTCGCACCAGCGTGCTCTTGGTGAGTTCCGGCCTCATTGGGTTAAGCACGCCTCACCCTAGTGAGCTCTTTTGAAAAGGAAGGGCGCTGGGGGTGTTAAACTTCCTTGTTTTTCTGCTGTGGGGGGTGGGGTGGGGGGGGTGTGGGGGGGAGATGGGTGGGTCCTGACTGAGGATGCTGACAGGGACTTGGTGTTCTTTAGGAGCAAATGATGCGCAAGAAGCAGGCTATGCACCTGGATGCCCGCTACGTGACCATGGTGGAGAACGCCTACTACTACTGCAACCCCCCACCCGTGGAGAAGGCCGTGAGGAAGAGGAGACCACCTTTGCAGGAGTACATTCGCAAGCTTCTCTACAAGGACCTGTCTAAGGTCACCACCGAGAAGGTTCGTAGGGGGATATCGCTGACATTCATGTTTTCATGAGATGGTTTGGTGACCTTTCAGCCTTCACTAGTCTAAACCTTGACATCTTGCACCTCCCACATGGTTTAACCCTGCGATTAAACTGATCGTCTCACAGGTGCTGAGACAGATGCGTAAACTTCCCTGGCAAGACCCTGAAACCAAGAGCTATCTGATTTGCTGCCTGGTGAATATCTGGAATGTGAAGTATAACAGCATCCACTGCGTGGCCAACCTCCTAGCTGGCCTGGTGGCATACCAGGAAGATGTGGGCATTCACGTGGTGGACGGGGTGCTGGAGGACATCCGGCTGGGCATGGAGGTGAGCAGGATGGTCTTCATGTGGCCGCTAGTGAAGCTGATTAGTCTGTCACCTCTAGAGCTGGAAATATACTAATTAGACACTTTGTCTGGAAACAATCTCTAATCTTGTTGTACCACGACACACCCATGTAAAGTGACTTGGGGTGATTCTGTAGTGAAAGATGCTAAATATAAATAAATTGAATTGAATTGTTCTCAGCTCATGAAGAACATCAAATCGTGTACATTTGTGCGATGGTTTTGGGAAGAAAAACATGACAGCCAAATTTATGACATGGTGACACCTCAAAAAGTGAGAGTTGTGTATCTAATTTAGCTTGGCAGTCGGCGCAGACTGTTGTGGTGCCGTACAGCCGAAGGTGGTGCTCCCCCCTGACTTGGTGACCCCCCTCCATGTTGCAGGTAAATCAGCCCAAGTTCAACCAACGGCGCATCAGCAGCGCTAAGTTCTTGGGGGAGCTCTACAACTACAGGATGGTGGAGTCGGCCGTGGTCTTCCGCACACTCTTCTCCTTCATCTCCTTCGGGGTCAGTCCGGATGGCTCACCCAGCCCGCTGGACCCCCCTGAGCACCTGTTCCGGCTGCGCCTGGTCTGCACCTTGCTGGATACTTGTGGCCAATACTTTGACCGGGGCTCCAGCAAGAGGAAGCTGGACTGTTTCCTCATCTACTTCCAGGTTGGTGTGATGGGCCAGCTTCGAGATGAACCTCAAGAAACAACTTATTTTTAATCACTCATTGGGTTTCATCGTCCTGCTAATTTTGGCACAGTTTTGAGGACCTGAGGATAATTGTCCCGTCATTGCTCACAGCGTTACATTTGGTGGAAGAAGGCTTTGGAGGTCTGGACGAAGGAGCACCCATTCCCCATTGACATCGACTACATGATAAGCGACACGCTGGAACTGCTTCGTCCCAAGATGAGGCTGTGCAGCTCGCTGGAGGAGGCGGCCATGCAGGTCACCCAGCTGGAGAGGGAGGTGCTCGTCAAGCTAGGTGAGAAGTTCCCTTGGTAATGACTAATGGGTTAACATTGCGTTCTGCGGTGTGCGTGGTCTGGTGACTATTAGGGCAGAGATAAGGATGTAAGAAAGAGGAAGTGACTCCTGTGTTCCTGCTTAGCAAGTTCACCTGCATTTCATCTCAGCCTCACCTGATGGACAGCATTCTTCAGTCTGGAGGAGGTTTGCCCGTACCCAACTGGTTTTTGCACATTTAGCTTTTTTTTACCTTTCACAGGGGACTTTTCACTCTGCTGTAAAGCATTCATTAATATTTAGGAGTAACCTTTGTTTTTATGCATTACAGTTTAGGAGCCCCTACACTAACGGAACTGGACCTATGTCCAGAGTTCTACATCTCTGGGTTCTCCACTTGTTCTTTTGGTTGGTTGTCTTTCAGTTTTTGTCATGAGAGAATAAATGAGCTGTTTGTGGGAGTTACTTTTCCCTCCGAATCTGCTTTCAAGAACCTCCACCTTCAAGCTATAGTGGTGTGTGAAAATTGAAGTAATGCAGATGTTATATTAATGGGTTAGCTTCTAAAGACCGACTTGGTTGTAGACTCAAAGCCAAGCATATTTTCAATTGCCTATAAAAGGAGTTTAGGTGAGAAATGTGGTAAACATCATTGGAGCATGACTGTAGTGTTTTGGAATCACTAAATGCTGCATTCCACCTGAAGGGTGAATGAGCTTTGAGTCACTTTTTGAAGATCGTCGCTTGGGATGCGTTTGATTGAACTCATTCTTATCCTTTTCCCCCCATTCTGGAAAAACCTGTTGATCTTTGATTATGGGTGTGCTTCTCTTTGAGAAATGGGTGGTTGGGTGGTAATGGAAAGTGGACCAATCCTCACCAGTTCATGTCTTTAAAAGAGTTGCTTCATTGTTCTACTTTAAGCCTTTTATTTGTGTGGGAGGGGCGTGGATCGAGATGGTTGACCTTTTTTCTTTCTTCATTTCCCAGGTCTAGCTGTGGAGAAGGACGACCGGTCCTCCAGCGCCATGGGTGATACGGAGGGACTGGATGAGGAAGACGAGGACGATGATGAAGAAGGAGGGGCGGAGACGGAGGAGCAGTCTGGGAACGAGAGCGAAATGAATGAGCAGGAGGAGGAAGTACGTGAGAGTTTATCGTTCCCCACAACTTGGGCGTGTTCTGCCCATTCTGGTTTGTATTTCAGCAGCTGTCCTTTCTGCACTTCCTCCCAAACTTATTAGGCCTGCCATGATAATCGCTTTTGCTGGACGATATATTGTCCCAGAAATGATTGCAGTGAACGATATTATCCATTTTATGCCTCTGGTATAATGGTGATAGCAAAATAATGCAAAGAGCATTAAACTTTATTCAGACACTAGAACTGGAATGTCAAAAAATGTAACACCTAAATAAATAAAACATAAATAAATAAAACATAAATAAAAGCACGCAACCAAAAAAGATTAATTCCTTAACAAGCAATATGCTGTCAACCCAGTTTTGCAGCGGCTAGGACCTTCGTTAAGTGTCACCGTAACAACACATAGTCTGTAAGTTAGATATAAGTAGCGACAAGTGACACGTTTGACCTGACAATGTCACTTTAGCGCTCCTCCTTTTAGGGCCTCTCTGGACATGACACAAAGGCACTTTGAGCGGAGACTTCCAACGTACACACTCTTCCCGGACCATCTTTTCTCAAAACGCTCAAATTATTACACTGCGGAGGCTCGGCTCAGTGACGCAAGTGAACCTCCATCATTTATTGGCCAGGGGAAATGAAACAGGAGGTCAGAAAGTAGTCAGACCAAATATTGTACATAAATACCCTTTCTGCCTTTTATGATCAGAATGGTGATACAAATGTCTAGCAGATTTGAAGAATGGTTCACTGAGAATAACAATAGGCAACATGTATCCATGCGTGTTTTTGCTTCAGTCATCGTTTCTAGTTTTCAATTTTGTTTGTACGTTAATTTTTTATTTTCATTTGAAATCTAATTTAGTTTGAGGACTGATTTCATTAGTTTTTATTTTAAAGATGTAAGTCTATTTAGTTATGTATTTATTTTGGGTTTTATTTAATTTCCAGGAATTGACAGAAAGGGACTGTAGGGCCTTGTTGGCTGTTTTTGTGGTTGAAGTGCATGGCATGAGAGTTCTAAAGATAAAAAACAAATCGTTACTTCAGCTGAATAGTATTTAAAGGTAACAGGAAGTATTTGATGTTTATTTTGTCCTTATGTTATGTTGCTTGTCCATATACTGTATTATGTGTTAAGATGATAACATAATTATGATGACAAACCCATACTTATGTAGCGGAAGTGTTACTGTATTGCTCATAGACTGCTAGGAAAATCACTAACCCATCCAGGTCAGGTGGACCCTGGGTTTCTCAGTGTCGCAAAAGCCTGAATGGGCAGCCAGGACGGAGACAGCAGGCTCTGGTGACAGCCTTGTCACTTTTCTATATTGTGTCAACTCTATTTTCCACTTTCTTTGGTATTTGATCTACATTTGTCAACCAGTGGTGGTGATGCTGTTATAATCTGAGATTGACATAACTGGTACGCATTTGAGGTATTATTATGCACATTTGCACTGTTAAGTTTCTATAAGTACCAGTTATGTCAATCCCTGGTTGTAATCCAGGGACATATTTAAACTGTCTCGTTTCTGTGTTTTAGGAGGGCTCCGAAAATGAGGAGGAGGAGGGGGACGAAGAGGAGGAAGAGAACACCGACTACCTGACTGACTCCAACAAGGAGAATGAGACTGACGACGAAAACAACGTGAGTGCAGAGGCTGCACCCCTACCGCTAATCCTGTTAGCCGACGGTGGCAGTGACCGCGCCATGCCGCTCCTCTTTCTCTCCTCAAGGAGGTGACGATCAAGGGAGGCGGCCTGCGGCATGTGGCCTGTGCTGAGGACGAGGACTTCATCCAGGCCCTGGACAAGATGATGCTGGAGAACCTGCAGGTATGGGCCACTTCCTGCGTTTCTGTCTAACGACGTTTCCCGTGTAGTTTTTTTTTTTTCTTTGAAAATTGCACACCTTTAATGCCATTACATCCTATTTACAACCACGCCTCAGTTAGTGACCGAGTTCCATTCCGACAAGTGCGTCTCTGCCTGTGCGTCTCTGCCTGTGCGTCTCTGCCTGTGCGTCTCTGCCTGTGCGTCTCTGCCTGTGCGTCTCTGCCTGTGCGTCTCTGCCTGTGCCTGTGGACCTCTGCCTATGTGCTTGTACCTGTGTGTCTCTGCCTGTGCTCCTCTGCCTGTGCATCTGTGTCTGTCTGTGCCTGTGCTCCTTTACTGAGCTATAAGAGTTCTGTATGTCCCCCTGATCACCTGTCTGAGTGAGTGCTCCTGTATCTGTGTGCTGTTACTGACATGCATTAATGGGCACTGAGCTCTACTAAGGGCCATCTGACTGCCCTCCCCGCCTGCTCTACGCCCCACAGCAGCGCAGCAGTGAGTCAGTGAAAGGCCACCAGCTGGACGTGGCGATCCCACTGCAGTTGAAGAGCCAGCTGAAGAAGGTCCCTCCCCCAGCCTGCAGCGCGGAGGCCGACACTGAGCTTGCCGACACCATGCAGTTTGTCATGCTCACCCGCAAGGGCAACAAGCAGCAGGTATGCATGCCACCCAGCCGCCCATGTGACCTCTGCCCGCCTGCCCACCCGCCCATGTGACCTCTGCCCGCCTGCCGAACCACCCTTTTCTAAGAATTTCATTATTGCTTAACGATAAGTTGACAGGGTCGTTCTGGCTCAACTCAGACAGATATTTGGTATCGTCTGTGCTCAGCCATCTCAGAATTGAACCATTTCGTGGCATTTTGTTCGCAGCTGAGCCAACAGGAAAAATCCAGAATCTCTCTGCTCCATCTCATATAGTTTAGAAGTTACACTGGCTTGACATTCATATTTTTCCTTTGTTCCCAAAAATGCTTGGTCAGCCATTTTCAGATGCAGGTGTCTTTGCAACGGTAACACCTAGGCACCTGAAAGAAATTGTGTATACAAGACTTTGGCTTAATTCCAAATATGTATTTCTTTAGCTTGTAGCATGCACCAAACTTGGGATAAAACATTCTTTCTGTGATCTGCCAAGAGGCCCCGAATCTCAAGGGGATGGTAAAGATACTGTCACGTTCATTGTCATTTGAAAGTTCCATTAAAAACCAGAATGATGTTTTCTGTTTTAAGGGTTTTATTTACAGTTTGAAACTCAATAAAACCCTTAAAAGATACAGGCATCTGACCAAGCATTTTTGCAAATGAAGGACAAATCTCATTGAATTTCACACCAGTGTAACTCCACAACTATGAGCTAGGCCAGAGATTTTTTTTCCATTAAGGCCCAGGGGCAAACAAATGCCAGAAAATGGTTCAGTTCTGAGATGGTCGAGTGCGGACTATTTGAGTTGAGCCAGAAAGACTCCATAGTCTTTTAGTGATTCTTAGTTTACTCTTTAGAATTTAAAAGTCAGCAGGTTTGCTTGTCCAGTTCCTTTCAAAATGACTGACCTACATACAGAACATTGTTGTTTTTAAAATTTTGCTGTTTGTGGGGCAGAATGTGGCTCAGCAGGTTAGGAGGCTGTGCTCGTGATGGGAAGGTTGCCGGTTCAAATCCCAGTGTTGATAGAGCGATTCCACCCTTCGTCTTGCAGAACTGTCTGACCTTGCTTTCTCAAAAAAGAAAAGTACGTCACTTTCAGGGGGAAAAAAAAAGCTTTGGGTCATGAGGCCGGGTAACAGTGGGCCCTGTGTGTAGGAGTCAAACCCAGCCTGCACTGGGCCCCGCCTCAGAATGACCCACTTGTTCAGCCGGCCTCTTCACAACTCAGAACAGGAGTGACCTAAAATTTTCCTGCTTCTATGAATGTGGAGAAGTTGACCGAGACCCAGGCTTAATATTGTGCCGTCATTCGATTTAGAAAATGACTAACAGGCCTGCATGCGATCTGGCATACGGCTGCGTTTCGCTGCGTCTGCTCGGGTTTCCCGGCGGGAGCCGCTCCTCTCTCTGAATGGGCCGTTGTTACGGACGCTGCTGCTCGGATTCCGTCTGCAGCTGACTGCGTCTGCGTGTAATCACCTGCCTGTCCTCCCTCCACAGTTTAAGATCCTGAACGTGCCGCTCTCCTCCCACTTGGCCGCCAACCACTTTAACCAGCAGCAGGCCGAACAAGCAGAGCGTCTGCGCATGAAGAAGCTGACACTGGACATCAATGAGAGGCAGGAGCAGGAGGACTATCAGGGTGAGGAAGTCAGCTTCCTGGACCAAACTGGGTCTTTCCTCCCTCCCTCGGTCTGTCTCTATCTCCCTTTGACTGTCTCTGTCTCTCTCCCTCGCTCTATCTCTCTCTCCCTATCTTTCCAAATCCCTTCCTTCCCCTTGCTCTCTCTCTGCCTCCCTCCCTCTGTCTCTCTGTTTGTCTCTCTGTCACTCAGTCACACTATCTCTCTCTCTCTCTCTCTCTCTCTCTCTCACACACACACACACACACACACACACACATAGTAAAACGCATTGCCCTTTGCAGAGATGATGCAGTCGTTGGCCCAACGGCCAGCCCCTGCCAACACCAATCGCGAGAGGCGACCACGGTACCAGCATCCTAAAGGAGCGCCCAACGCAGACCTCATCTTCAAGACTGGGGGAAGGTGGGCAGCCATCTGACACCCTGTAACCAGCAGGGGACTTTCCACATGGCCTGGAGAGGCAAATAAAGAAAACCATAAAGCAGCTTTTCATGGTCTTGAACCTAAGGTTGTTTGCTGATGTCAAGATAACTTCTTGTTTCTAATTCCGTTCACTTCAGTTGAGGCGCTCTGTTTTTGAATAACAGCACCTACCAAAAATTTTTTACTCTTGGTTAATAGGTGAATTAATCCTTGAAGTTAGTGGCAAAATGTGACACTGGTCTGAGATGATCTCTTGGAGCTGGAAGCGGAATTAAAGGTTTTCTGACGAATCCGCGTAGACCTTCTGAGCTGTATGTTCCGCAGTCACGCTGCCGCTCTCTCTTCCAGGAGACGCTGAAGGGATCACAGTGGTATGACCTCCTCGCTTGGGCGCTGACCTACCCCCCCGGCTGACTGTGGAGTACACCGTCGCCATGCGAACGGGAGGGGCCGTGGGCTCCTCCCCCCATGCGGAGCAACACCAGCATCTCTCTCTCTCTTACACACAGAAGCACGTGCACACACACGGACACACGCTTTGTCACGCCCAGCCGGACTCAGCAGTGGCGAGACCCCTTCAGCGGGAGAATGCGTTTGTGAGGCGGCTGCCGTTCCCACAGGCCCTGCCGGAGGACCAAGATGCAACAGGATCAGGGAGCACACCACGGTCATGCACCCTCTTCCTCTTAGAGGGGGTGGGCTTACAAAAAAATTTAAAAATCAGTTCTTTTGTTTTAACGCTGCCTTTAGTTAAATCATTCTTTAGATTGGAGGGCCCAGTTGAGGGGAGGGGGGGGGCTGGAGAGGGGGATGAAGGGAGAGCAGCCAGGTTGAGTGAGGAGGCAGCGAGACGGACACGCAATTCATGGTACCAAGATGGCCGGCTTTGTTAGCGCGTCCGCTCGTCCACCATGCCGACGGCCCTGCCTAGAGGATTCTGAGAAACCGAGGGTCGAGGTGGCGACTGGCAGAGGGACTGACCGATGGACTTACCAGCTTTTCATTGTCTGATTTAAAAAGGAAAAAAAAAAAGATAAATATTTATAGATGCGGTTTATTTTTTCATTGATGTTCTGACAGGAAGCCATTTCTAGGTTGCGAAAGGCTTCAGCATCGCAGGCATTTCTGTGCATATGAGTTTTGGTGTTCTGTAGTTAATGCCTGCGTGAGGTTTCTGTCTACAATCTGCAGCTGAGTTTCCTGCTGATCCTTTTGAAATCTGTTCCAAGTGTCTGTCTGGTTTAACCTTGTTTTGCCCCCCTCCCTCCATTGCATGGCCTGTTCATACCAGCACTGCTGCTGGCAAGCAGGCTGCATCTCGGATTGCAGTAAACTGTCCAAATGTCAGCTGTCTGGCTCCTCATTTCTGTGCCTGTCTTTTAAAAGGGGGGGGGGTTTAAGTAAGATGTGATGGTGTGTGAATGTTACATTTATATAGTGCTTTATGGTACCCTTGGGGAGCCACTTGAACCACCACCACTGTGTGGCCCCCACCTTGAATTTAGTCAGGATATCAGGGTACCACTGCTACTTTTTCCAAAAGTTGCCCAGGTTTCTCTTATGAGTCGGGGCCTCGGTTTCACAGCTCGTCTGAAGGGCGGCACCATTTTCCTTTTAACAGCACAGTGTCCCTATTGTTGCACTGAGCCACTGGGATCCACACTGACCACCAACACCAGCACCTCCTCCAGCACCAACCCACCTTTTTTAAGTCGGTCTCCCATCCAAGTACTGGCCAGGCCCAAGCCTGCTTAGCTTCAGGTGGATTCCCTAGTCTGAACTGCAGGTGGTGTGGGTCAGGGAGGTGCGATGCGATACCTGTAGTTGGGAAGTTGCGGTTCAAATCCCAGGGTTGGCAGAGTGATTCTGCTGTTGAGTCCCTGACCGAGGCCTTCAGCAGACTACCTAACCCTACCCCTTCTTTTTAAAAAATGTGGGTCGCTTTGGATAAAAGCATCTAATAAATACACAGCAAAATAAATGTAATGTCATCTAACTTTTTGGAATATCTTGTGTTTGCAGTTCAAATTCTGCAGTATCATTTCTTTAAATCACTGAAACAAAAATCCTCCTGGGGTGAATTAATGAAAAGACCCTTGTAGTGTGATATCACTATCAAAATATTCTCAGTGTAAACCGGTTTATTAAATTTCTCAACCAGAACAGTCCTTAAACTGCTGGTTTAAAAATAAATTCTGTCCCAGTGTCCACCTTCAGCTCCGGAGTAACCCCACTATGCACAAAAAAATGTCTGGTTATTAGAAATGCTGTCACGACAGCGAGAGGGAATGTGCTCAGACCAGCTTGGGCTCCACCACAGGAAGAGGGCCCTGTTCTGCTTGGAGATGACTGGCATGCTGTAAACAATAATGCAAGCAATGGAAAGGTATTTTAACATGAGTAATGCAGGAAAGGACATTTGTACCACTTGCGTCTTTCAACACCAAATATTTTGTTAGCTAAAGGGAGATTTTCAAAGAGTAAACCTGTAACATGAGCCTTGAGTTCTATTCAGTTGGGTGCTTTTTTTTTTTTTTTTTTTTTAATATGATCTTAGAGAATATACTTTACTTCAAGTACAGCACAAGACAAACCATTTAGTCTGAAACATTTATTCTTGTAGGTCATAAAAGTACCTGTAACAAGGTGCAATGTTCATATGAGGTGATGTCTGTAAAAAGGATTCAAAGTTGTCTTCGTCTTTACAACATGTTAGTAATCTGTACATTACTATACAAATGCTTTACTACATATACAGTATTTTCAAAGGTAACATGGCTGGGAGGTCGACATTACTGGTACTGGTGTATTTTAGCACATGTTCTTGCAGTGGGGTTAAGTCTAGTGTGTGGCTGTGTTTACTTCAAAATTGCAGATAAACTACAGAACCGGAGTCTAGCAGAAATTGCCAAAAAAAAAAAAAAAACGCACACATTTCACATTCCAAAAACTCCAAATACAGAACTCACACACAAACACACACAGCTTAACACTCGCTTACACAGACACACATCCACAAAATTAGACAAAAACATTACAACACTGCTAATGAACAAGCATCAGATGACCAGGCTTACAGTACCATATTCCCTGTGAAAAAACTAGCATTTTTTACATAGCAGGTTAACTAAGACATCATATCCATTTAAGTATTACACCTGTCTGAATATTAAATATTTCTATGTAGGAAATTACAGTTATATTACTCAGTTTTAGTACTTGTACTACAAATGGTTATATGGTTTAATTTGTGCAGTAGTACATCACTCAACATAATTGCAGTATAACAACAGTGAGTTAATCTTTTATAATATAGTAATTAAAAATAATAGTTGGAGGGATATAGAAACAAAGAATGAACATTATTTATCTGTAGATTCACTCTAACAGGACCACAGAAACAAGAAATTGCATGTTCCCTTTCTGTGGTAAACCAAATGAGCTGAAACATGGAAAAAATAGAAAACATCTTGAAGTTAAGGTCTAGATTTGGCTTTTAACAAGATTTCTTGTTAGTCATTCAATGAAAGGCACATTAGTTCTTTGCACTGGAGACATGGAAGTTTCCCGTAATACTTTGGGCTTTTAACATACTATACAACCACTGAGCAAGAAATAGCCATACATGTCCATACTCTGTTCTCCACTGGGTCTTGGCCTGTGTGACAGATGTGATGGCACTAAGGTCAATCAATGCACACAGAAACTATTATTAGTGTTCTGGCAGGTAACCGGGTAAAAAATATGTGCAGGAATCTTCCGGTTTCCATTCTCCTGGTTCTTTGACCCACAGAAAACTGCATTTCTCAGTCCTGAAGCCGTGACGCTCACACCCCTCAGCTTCAGCATTAGGACGTATCTTTGAGGAGCCCGAGTTTGCGTAGTGCTTCTCGGCGGGATTCATCAGTGGGCCCACGCCCAGAGAACTGCACCGTGATGCCCTGAGACCAAAATGGTGGCTTGGAGATGGAACGCCGACGTTCTGATGATGTTGACGCCAATTGTCCGACACTGAAACTCGCAGTTCTATTTTGGCGGCCAGTTCTAGGTGCGTCTTCAGGATGATATTCTGCTCTGAAGGACATTGATCTTATGGCAACATTGGGGACAGAAGCAGCTGGTTTAAGGGTTACAGGAGTGACGTTTGACTTGGTCATGTTGACCGCGGGCTTGGTGGAGGGCGTCTGTGAAGGAACTGCGGTCTTGGTTTTGCTGCTATTGCTGTTCGAGTCATTTGAGAAAGACTTGGTGATTTTGGGTGACATCGAGGAAGTAATTTCTTTGGGTTTGTGGTCTTGCTGAATAAAATTGTTCGATGGATTCACAGTGTTGCCTCTGTATTTGTCGATGGCACTTGAGACATTGGTCTTGGTTTTGCCAAAAGCCAGCAATGAGGTGGGAGCAGCCGGCCTGCTGTGCTGCTGACTGTTATGGTGGGGAGGGAGGTCGGAGTTTGCCATTGGCACTGAAGATATAACTTTAGTTTTCCCTTCATAGTTGTTGAAGCTACCACTGCTATACTGGAGTGAAGCTGGTGTTTCCATCTCCTTGCCATTGTTACTCACACACTGAGAATGAGCATCTGCTTTTTGGTTGGAGGGAGTTGCTACTTCAGTTTTTCCACCATAGGTGTTACGATCATTTGGAGAGACATGAGTCTTGGGTGCAGAGGAGCAGGCAACAGCTTCAGGCTTCCTGTCAGGGCCATTGGCATTATTTGAACAAGAAGAGCTGCTAGTTGGCGACAAAGGCGGAGTGATTATCTTGGGCAAGTTGCTGTTACTACTGAATGCTGATAGTTTCCGCTCTTTAGTCAGTCCTAGTTTGGACAGCGCTTCCATCCTGGATTTATTCGGTGTTAAATCGTGGAATGAGATACTCCGGTTTGGGACTTTTCTCACCTGTTTTTCTTCCATCGATTCGTACGCATGAGGTCTTCCTGTTAGGTTGGCCAGCACCTGAGCTTGACGCTGGTGGACATTCACAGAGGCCTTGGCAATGGTCTGATTGTAGTCCCTGCTGGGCAGAGCCACACTGATATTGTCTGGATATCGGCTTGGTTTTGCTGTAGTTGGTGGGCCCTGTTTAACTGGATGGTCAGGCAAAGGAATTGCAGAGTAGTCTCCGGTGAAATCCAGGCTCCTCCTGTGTCCAGGGGGGGCAGATGTTGTGGCTGGGCCACCACTGCCCTGGTGAGCTGCGATTTTTTGGGCTATCACCATTGGGGTCGGAATAGAGCCAACAGGCTGGCTGTCCATTTGATCCCGCCTCACTTTCACCTCAGTATGAGCTTCCGGGGGCAACCCAATGGTCCGGAAATCTTAAAAAATTACAGGCACCACGATGACAAACACGTTAAAAATAAAACTATCAGTTTCACTTTCTACTTTGACCTTGGACGTAACCGTCAAGGTCAACCGTCAAGGACATTCAGCCCACCACTTCCTCATAGACCCTACCCCTGAATGTTACCCCTTGTAGGTTTATAATCCTGATGCTAGCCACCCCTCATAATAATTACATGGTTCAGTTTCCAATCACACCCAATGAAATACATTGACAATTACAGTGTTTGAAAATTGTTTAAGATACCTGGCATGATGGAAGTATGTGGAACCTCCCTTGGGCTGGGTGGATCAGGCTGGACTTGGACCAGGTCAATGATATCTTGCTCCTTGAGGCTGCTGGAAAGTGCAGGGGCAGCAGCAGCATCAGCAACGGCCTGACGGCTCCCTGCTGGACTGCTGCTCTGTGGAAACTGGTCTCGATCCTCCAGATCATCGTCGAAAATGTTGATGGTCTCTTCTAGGAACAAGATACACTCCCGCTCCTCACGACTCAGGAACCACAGTTCCTCATCTTCCTGCAAAGGGAAAATGCAAGAGGCCATAAGAAAACGTAGACAGACAGGAAAACAAAGAAGCCAGAAGCAGCACCGGCAGCAGGATAGTTTTGAAAACTGCACGCGACAAAAAAACCACGCCAAGTATCAGTAGTGCTGGAAGGAGGGGTGCTGAGGGTGCTTCAACTCCAGTCCTGGGGGGCCGGAGCCCTGTGTAGCTTAGTTCTTTCCCTGTTCCACCATAAATGATTCAGCTCAAGAGCTGTGTGGTAATTAGCACAAGGAGTTGAATCAGGTGTGTTAAATGAGGGGAAACTCAAAAATGTGCAGGGCTCCAGCCCACCAGGACTGGAGTTGGGCACCTCTGGTCTAGGGCAGGGGTCATCAACTATATTTGTCAGAGGGCCAGAGTTTTACCAGACAGTCTCCTTGGGGGCCGGACCCCCAAGAAGAAAATCAAATAAAAATCTAATTTTGGCTTAACATTATGTTTAATGTTTATACTTTTTCCATTTCATTACAAAACTGAAGGCATTTGATTCAAGCTCCCATACCTATACCACAGTCAACCACTAGGAGTGATAGATAATGTGCCTCAACTCAACAAATATAGTCATAAATGGTGGTTATTCTGACAAGAGACTCAGTTGTTGTTATTTTTAGTTGCTTTAATTCATAAATGGTGGTTATTCTGACAAGAGACTCAGTTGTTGTTATTTTTAGTTGCTTTAATAGTGTGGACCACTATTTTCTTTTTGATCCTCACAATTTTGGAATCCAGTCGCGGGCCGGATCGAACGGCTCAGCGGGCCGCCAGTTGATGATCAGTGGTCTAGGGCAGTGTGCCCATGCTTATAGCTTTTGTAAAAGCAAAATATAGAATCACGGTAGTTAGCTCAGAGGTGAATTTATACTGATTTCTCCAAAAAGACTATTGTTATTAGCTGCTAACAGCTATGAACAACACAAAAGAACTTCGGTAAAGTCAATGGGTCAGTCCGACTTTCAGTGCCCTGAGCTCAAAACATCTTCCTGCACCTATGCCAAGTATGCAGTTATTAGTGAGAGATTGAACAAGGCACATATCTGAACGGAGGCAAGAGGTGAGAGACTAAATCAGATAATCAATCATAATTAACCAACGGGGTCAAGCTGGGGACAAAAGTCCGAGCCTGAGGCAACAAGTGCTTTAACGAAGAACTGACACCGCATCCAATCAGTCTCACATGTTAACGATACAACTGAGAACATTCCAGATATGTTCTTTGTCACGGACCCCTTCATCTGGTAAGCTTGATGGTTATCGGGATTTTGACCAATCAGATCGCTGTTGTTTAGAACCCGATTCCAGTGCTTTGGGCAATGTGTGAACATGATGCTCCAGGACCAATCTAACTGCCAGCCGTCCACGTGGCCGGCACTAGATTTCCCTCCTGTGTGTGTGTGTGTGTGTGTGTGTGCCAGGAACACAGAGCTGCTTGTTCCTCCCACCCCAGGAGCCAGACTACAACCTGGGAAGAAACAAAGACCCTACAGAAGCACAGGAGCCAAGGCCCAGAGAACATTCTCAAGAACATGGGGTCATGTGACCCACCCCCAATAATCATCCCCGCCCACTTGAGTATGGAACAGAAAGAAGCACATGGAGAGTTTCCATGACACTCGCACCGAGGACCAGATTCCACATCCCCAGACCTCACACGTAAGGCATGGAGGGACAAAGAAAGGCTTCTCTATATGTCGACTCCTGTGCAAACTGTCAAGCCACAGCCAAGAAAACCCCCCCACCCCACCCAAAAGGTGCTTGTGGTCTCTGGGTGTTATTCTCTGCCTTCATGAAATATAAAAATATTTTTTAGATGCTGGTGTAACAATGAAAACCATTTAATTTTCCTTCCTTTTGATCTGTGATATTCTATATTTGTCTGAAATTAATAGCAAGTTCTCTAATAGTGGGGAACGTTCCAGTGGGAAACTCCACACTCACTGCAGACGTCCAAAGACCGAGAGCACTGAGAAAGCAGCTGAGGACAGCCTTTCAGGTTCTGCATAGCAGCTGCAGACAGCCTTTCAGGTTCTGCGTATTGACTAAGAGGACGCCACATCTCCTTCAGTTTTCATCAATCCCCAGCCCCATAAACCCCAGGTTTCAGCTTTAGGGAAAACCAACAAATACACAAGCTTCACAAAGTGGTTCTGCGAATGCTGTTGAATCAGGGTAGAATGACACTGATTATCAGCATGATTATCACTGCTTTTTGTGAATGTTACACTTTTGGTTTTGGGAATGTTCCATAAAATCCCCCTAGACAGGAAACGGCTTCAGCGGCTTCTTTGTTCTAGAAGGAACAGAACCCCTCGGGGTACGTTGTGGGTTACTGACCTTGTCAGAGGCTATTATAGTAAATCGTAATATTTAAGCAAAGTCAAAACCGAGCACATTTCCACAGGGAAAACGATCGGTTTACATTTGGAAATTCAGCCATGTGTATCTTGTAAAATGGTGAGTAGAAGTACACTGTACATTTATTAACGCTAAATCAAACCCCAACCCCCGTACCTTGAAAAAAACTGAATTTTCACTACGGACACAGAAGGTTGTGTTGTCGGTTGTAGGTGTATTCCCTTGCGAAACAGGCACGCAGTGTGGCTTCCACATCCACTCAGCCAGGTGTTGCGCACCGGAGACCGGCACACAGTGCCATGGTGGGTAAGCAGCGCTACAAAACCGCAGTCCAACCTGCTTCCCCTGCCCCAACCGCCCAGCGCCTGATCCGGTTTAATTTCAGGATGTGCTGGATGGGCTTGCGGGCTTTTGTGTACACAGTGGCAAAGATGGAGACCAGGTCCATAGCTAGAACACACACCCTTCATTTTTCTCATAACCCCAATTCCTCATTGTGTCTTAATGATAAACATCATTCATTGGCTTAAGTCACTTATATAGTCATAAATAACTCTGTTCATTAAACGAAAATTGTAATTGTTTTCGGATAAACGCAACAGCTACAGATGTAAATGCTAATAATGATCTCTGCTCTCATGTTAATTCATCATTAACGAATCGTGACGCATATTAGCAGTTACCATATTTGTTACCATATCTGTTAATTCTGTAAACCGTTGTGAACTACTGAAGGAACAAAAAAATGAATGACAAGTGAAACACTGATCGTACGTTTGTTCATCATTGAATCGCGGCGCATCTATTGTCTCAAGTAGCGAATATTCATGATTAGTACTTGAGTATAGTAACTGAGTTATTACTAAGTATTTGTGTCCCGTCAAGTAAAGTGTTATCAATCACATGGATGCCTTTTTATGTCAACTAATATAAAACTAAACAACATTTAAATACAGGTAACAAATTAAACGGAAACTGTATACATTCAAAATGTACTGAAAAGCGAACGGGTCGGGGACACGGATAAGCCGAAAGGAGAATAACCTTACCGAAGGTCTGCGGTGCTTTTGAGCGCTTCCCCGGGCGATCTGATGAGCTCCATTGAGTCCGATGTGAAGCCGGGAGTCGGGACTCGGATGTAAGTTCATGGTCCGCGAGCCGGGGGCGCAGAGTCCCCCTGATATCTCATGAGGGTCCCCCGGTGCTCGATGTTCTTGCGGACCGGGGACAAATTAACGCTCATGCCTGAGAATAATACAACTGGCTTCGCACGACGCAAACCTGAAGGATAAAACATACATTTAAATATGTCACAATTTCATGTAAAGACTTAAAAATTAAGTTAAATTAGATATTTTGTAGAATAACTAAAATGGTCGAGTACTGTATAAAAATCTATCTTCAGTTTAAGCGGAATCTTACTTTCTTCGCTTCCATCCCCATCACATCGTCACCCTGTTACAGACGTTCCATGTAGCTGCGGATGGATGGCATTTCGGGTATATAACTGTCCCACTAAAGCCGGATGGCGATTCTTCTGAGTGACGTGGCCAGAAAAGTCCTGTTATTCCAGTCATGGACTATTGTTTTTTTTTTTTTACCAGACTTCCCCCCCTCCCACAGGTACCCGGGTGTGCAGCTAATCTCGGCAGATTTCTGTCTACTCCAAAGCCGAGGAACGAGTCAGTCCGGAACAGGAATGTCAGACCAGGGGTTAAAAAAGTCTCACTGAATAGGCCCATTCACTTCAGCTGGTTTACGTTTTCACTTATCAGCGTAAAAATTATCACCAAATGTATATGTTGTAACAACTGACAATGATTTGTTTTCAGTAAAGTCTCAAATGCTAAAATAATTAACCCGCAATCGACGCATTTTACGATGTCATTTTTAATAATATTTTCAGCAGCGTTTTCATCTAAGGCCTATTTTATTGGTCGTATTAAGCTGTCGATGTTTATATAATCCATTAAGTACCAGACATAGTGATATCACTGCAGAAACCCAGCGATGACATTTCACAGTAATATTCTTTGACTGCTGACACAAATCAAGCTTTCCAAGTGACAATACACATTTTGCTCCTTAACATAGTTCATATAAGTTTTGTTGTACAATAGAGAGATTGAACATAATTATCATGGGAAAGTGATCACTGTTTTTAGATTACATAAAAATTAAGGTAGGCCTATAACATTAATAGTTTTTATAGAGCGTATTTCTTAAATACAAGGACGCTTCACAAATTAAAACTAAACAAACATGTGGAGGCGAAGAACAAAACACAATCAGACGATGGTTATCGTACTGATTATTAACTACTTAACCTTCTTTCGTTTTGCAAAGAACTGCATCACCATTTGCTTTTAGCAGCGCGCTATAATCCATCCATCTTCTGAAACCGCTTGTCCATGTCAGGGTGGCAGAGCCCCCTTTCGAGTTTTCTGGCTGATAAAACGCAAACGGGCGTTCCGCGTTATAAGCGGAATGGGTGCTATGGCGTGGACCTGGTAAACACGGACACACCTTGGTCAATTTCATCATAGCTAACTAGTTGACAACTAAACCAGTACGCCGAAATCGTGACGTGCAGCAAATATGTCAGGAGTTGGCTGGTGGGTAGGTGTAGCTTAACCATCGATAAACCTGCATCTTAAAATCCACTAGCTTTCCTAAAGCAGTTCGCTACCTCTTACCACGGCGTTTGGCTTAAATCAACACCCAGCTTCACAGCTCCATTCTCATGTACAGCAGGGGGTCATCATGCCAAAAATTAAGTTTCACAGAGATATTACAAGATTATATTCTCAATATAGTAGCTACTAACAATTACAAGCTTTCCAGTAGGAAAGAGTATAACGGTTACCTGTTTTACATTTCTTACCTGAGGAACACACCTCTAAAACACTGTGGAGAACAAATGTTTGACAACCATCAGGACTAGTTTTAAGGTTTATTCACTGCCACATATCAGGGATAAACAATCCATTCTTTAACAGACATTCTATATGCTGTTTTCACGCACACTTTAATGAAATGATTATCAGATACTACTTCAAATTAAATCTGAAATCCTCACTTTCTTTAATTTTGCACCCCTGACATTGTCATACAAATGACAGGATTCTACAAGTGTTCAACAAGAAAATCCTAGAAAACTGGTTTCTAGAACAATGTACCATTGTGCCAGTAATACGGGATGCAGCACCCTCTTGTGGTCACTGTAAAAAAATACCACATAGCAGTTCGATGCTGACAAAGTGCACACTGCGAGAGCTAGTACTGATGAAGCCATTTAAAGCATGGTGGTCATATTGAACAGTTTTCCACTTCAGAGCCTGTACCTTGCATGGAAGCACAATTCCATCCAGTAGATTCTAACTACCCATTTAAACGCAGGAGATCATTTATCCTATAATGATCAGTGGAACTCCTGCACATAAAAGGCTTCACTCAAAAGTGTTCACTCAGAGACCTTCTCTGTGCTGTGTGTCCACACGGGCTTTCGTTTCCCCAGAAAGGCCTGGACTCCTTCCTGTCCGTCCCTAAGTGCGAGGTTGTCTACCATAGCGGCACAGGCGATGCCATAGGCCGTCTCGCGGCCCAAAGCCATCTGCTTGTAGAAGGTGGCCTTGCCCAGGGCTACCACAGAGCGACTGGTTTGGCACACGCGCTGGGCAATGGCCAGCGTCTCCTGGTCCAATTGTTCCTCTGGGACGACTCTGCTGACAAGTCCATGTAGCAGCGCAGCCTGGGCCGAGATGGGCTCTCCTGTGAGCAGCATTTCCATGGTGACCTGAAGATGTATCACAGGGCAAATAAAGACAAAGGAATTGGACAGCATTCGCCTATAAATACTAAGACCAATGAAGACTACTCAAAACAGTCTGTACAGAAACAATTCATGGCCACCTCGGGTTAACGCCTACCCACCTTTCTGGGCATTGCTCTGCCAATTGCCACCGCTGGAGTGGAACAGAAAACCCCTACATTTACCCCAGGGGTGGCAAAAGTGGACTTTTCTGTCGCCACGGCAATATCACAGCTAGCAACGAGCTGGCATCCTGCTGCTGTGGCAACACCATTAACTTTAGCTATCACAGGCACCGGAATCTCCTGGATCAAAGTCATTATCTTTAATGAGAGGGAAAAAATATATATATATAAAGTTTACCACCAGAAACACCCACAAACGCAGTCAAATTATATCACTTTCATTTCACTGTAGCAATGTGAAAAACCTTCACATCTAAAACCTGAACGCTACAATATGGTACTGGGTACAGCAAAGATGCAGGCAGTCTCACCTCAGAGCACTCCCCAAACACATGCCTGTGGTACTCCTTCCCTTGAGATGATGTCAGTTCCTTTAGGTCATGACCAGATGAGAACACCGGCCCCTCCGCTTAAAGGGAATATAATGTGAAGGTCAGCCCAGCCATACATTCTCGTATTTTTAGTTGGCGGTACAAAATGTGACATACCAGATATAATAATGACCCGCAGCTCCTCACTGTCGATGTCTGCCAAGAGGTCTGCCCGCAGGGCGGTCAGCATAGACAAAGATAAGGCATTCCTTTTCTTGGGATCATTAAGCGTAATAGTTCTGGAGATAGACAATACGTAACCATAAAGCGCAGCCGGGCCACCAGTTGGCTTGATTATTGCGTGTGCGGGTACAGGCAGCGTTTTATGCCTATGAACTCCCTGAGAGCACAGTAGTTGCATAATTCGGAGAACTTGAACCGGACTTACTACTACAAGCATGACATTTCAGCTCTTTAATAGGAGTCAAAGTTTAAACTGGTGACATCTAAAAAGAGCTCATTTAAACTTAGTAAGGTAAAATTAAATTCAGCGGCTATTTTTACTCCAGTTATATTTGAGCAAACGATTACAAATTCTAAATAATATATTATAGCTCAATATACAGATTAACTTGGAGTTTAACATGTTGCTTAATCACAAGCCATTTTCTTCACCGGATTCACGTACGTTTATTTTCTCTTTCCAGGCTAGCGGTGACTGACCTTATTCCTCCCTCCTGCCTCCTGAGGGTGGGACTCCGGGCCGGACCCGCAGCACTACCCGCTGCTGCCCTGCTTAAAACCTGACATACACGGACTACTCTGGACAAGCAACTAAAACACCGCAAGGCCATGTTTGTTTACCAACTAACGCGTGTATCACGTGATAAGCGCCGTGAAGAGTTGACCCGAGAGCGATCGGGGCTTTTATCACCGCGACAGTGCCGCCTACCGAATCGGAGGAACGTGAGCAATACGGTGTTTTTTTACATTTGTCCCTTAAACAAAATATTACTATGTATATACGTTATGTTACAGCATGTATACAGGAGGTGAGTAAATGCTAATAAAAACGTCTCTCAATTGACTTTATCAAGATAAAGTATTTATCTTACACATATTTCGGTTAGTTAATGTCAGGATATTATAGTTACCTGATCGTGAGTCATCGCCCATTGAAGGACTGCATCTGATTTGTTACTTACGTGTTTATCGCCTGCTGTTTTAATGCACTTACTCTACCTGTATGTCCAATGGTCAACAAGTGTCTTCAAAATAGAAATAAAAAGTTACACAGTAATGTAACTTTTTGTTTTTTAGAATTTTGCCCCTAACAGATTTGTTTGTTTTCCAGTTGAATTGTACAGGTCATAGATCACGTTAAAGGTGGGAAACGTTTTGAAATGATTTATCGTGGCCTGATATTTTTGTTACATCACAAAAACCTGCCATTTTAACAGGATACACTTTTTATATCCACTGTATGGACAAAAGTATTGGGACACCAGCCTGTCCAACATCTCACTCTGAATTAAAGGGTGTTCATTTGAAGTTGGCTGTTCTCCTCTGGGAAAGCGTTCTGTTAGATGCTGGAACATTGCTGGTGCGCTGTGCTGCCACTCAGGTTGGGTTTTGATGTTGAGCGATCAGGTCCCTCTCCGTGAGTTTGTGCGGCCGACCACTTCACAGCTGAACCTGCTGCCAGATCTTTGTGCTTCACGGTCACTTCACTTGCGTTTGACCAGGGCAGCTCCAGCAGGACAGGAATGTGGTAAGTTTGGTAAGTGTGCAATGGTGGTGCTGGGCTGAATAACCTCTTCTGTATGACCACCCATTCTGCTGCCATTGTTTGATGCTGGAGGATGCATGGCTGAGTGCTTAATTACACACCTGCATGCGGCAGTGGGTGTGGCCTATGCGGCCCATTCCTGTAATTACTACATGTGTCTCAGACTATATAGACAAGTATGTCTGTATTTCTATTCTACATTATAGCTAGCAAGGGAAACACACTACAAAACCGGCATTCAGTTCATAAAGACGAACAAAACACGACATACAGTAAGGGTTTTTTTATTGATTAGGCAACAGTATTCATAAGTAATATGCCTGATAATCAGAAAAAGAGGATTTGTAAGTGAAATGCCTTGTCACTCTGGCTAACCAAGGAGAGCAGGACAGCAATGTTCCTTTTAAACATAATGCTATTGCAAACATGCGTAAATGGAGATTTACCTGAAGAACGTACAAATCAAGCCCCAAAGTAGCTTTCATGCAAGGTAATAAGTTGGCAAGATTCCATCCAGCCAGCCAAGGAGTGCATCAGTTTCACCCAGTAATCCAGAACAGCCCTGCCCTTGGTGCCTGTCGCTTTAAAACGAGATAGTACAGTAGTCATACACTGATTATAAAGGAGGAACAATTGCAAATCACAGTGGAAATAGCTTTGTGGCCCATAAATTGCATCTGAATAAAGAGAGGAGCCAGAGTTCTCTGCTTTTAAATACAGAAATCACTCAGAAATTCTGTCAGAGATACATCTCAGGGAAAAAAGAACACCTAATGCCCTTTGAAAACAAGTCAACCTGGATTATTGGTAAAGAGAAAAGAGGAACCAGAGTGTTCAGTATCATTCCTGGCAAACACAAGTCATATATTAAAAATAAAATTGCCAAAACGAACCAAAAAAAAATGAATTAACAGTTTTTTATAGTCATTATATACAAGTGCAGACACACCACTGCGGTTTGCATCTTTCTGCCCCAAAGTAAAAACTTTCCAGAGCAATTTTCCGAAGAAACATGGACTTTGGTTTGTGAGCCTGTGGAAGGAAGACCTGTGTCAGTGAGGGACAGTATATGTGGGTACAGCAGCGAGTCAGCGTGTAGCCAAACCCGAGACACGCGTGTTTACAATAAACACGCAAAACAGACACTTAATGGGCCGGTAGTGGAGATGCAGGACTTACAGTCAGCGGCAGAGTTTTCCTGGTTCATTAATCTGGACTCGACTCGTTCCCCTGTCCACTATAACCTACCAGGAGGAATCAGAAACAAGGGGATTCTGCTCATACAGACGACACTCCTACCACGGGGAGGGCTGTGCATAGCACTGTGAGCTCCACAGCCCCCTCTGTAGGCCAGCCAACTAATCTACAGGAGCAGGTGCAACACAATCTCTGTAGCAATGCCAGCAAGCTAATATTCCATGTGGGACCCAAACCTAGGGGTCATAGGACCCAGTCGGCAGCTGGGACCACAGACTCTGACTGGCCTCCTTATGGGGACCACAGGAATAAATGGTCTCTGATCTTCCACAAGCAGCAATCCTGAACTGCTTGCTTTACATTCATCTTCAACCTCAAAAGATAGTTAAGTATAATCACACTTCAACTGATCCTTTGTGCACGTAAAAAAAAAAAATCCAAATATATAGCACATTGAAAAAGAATGCTAATTAATATCTCCCCCGATAATAAAAACTAACCATGGATTAGCGTTCCTTGCCCAAATTATTGAGGTAACATTTTCTCAGCAGCTAAATACTAGCATTCCAATGTTGCCCAAACTGTTGAAGTGTAGCACCTAAGCAAGTCTGTGAAAGAGGGACCGACTTCAGGCTGTGGTTCCTCCACAGCTGCTTGTGTTTATTTAGTAGTGCCGCGAGTCCTGAGCTGGTATATATCCCATCCTTACACGTCGCCCCTGAAGCAGGCATGTTAGTCCAAGTCGGGATCAATAAAGACCCAAAATGCTGGTAACTGTATCCTTTCCCATAATGCCCTGCACATCACGGGGAAATAAAAGGGGTTTTGGACAAGACAGAATGTGGGGTTTCTCTGTCCATCCCCACCCAAGGGTCTGATGTCTGGTTGTGGAGGTTGCTGCAGACGTGCAAAGCCACTTAGCCTGCTGATTCCGGAGAAGCACCAAACAGTGCCAGCCAGAGCAAAAGGACATGCATTGACCGTACTCTACTCCTGTGGTAGTGCCTAGCAGGTCCGAATGAAAGAACGAAAACAGTATCTATTTTTCTGCCATGTTACTTAATATCTGCTATTCAGAGAGACTCAACTTCAAATTCACAAGCATATTATAGAGAAAAAATTCTAAATAACAAATTTGGATGTCATAAAAAACATAACATTTCAGAAGTCATTTGTATTTCTCACTCCCAGAGTAAACATCGACACACCGGGGGGATGCAGATTTTTCACAGCTCAGAGGGTAAAACTCAGTTTACAATTAACTCAACTGAGCTCAAAGCTCAAAGATTATCTGCTGTTAACAATACAACAACAGAATAAAAATTTTCAGCTGATTTTCAAAAGTTTCAGCTGATTTCCAAAATGTTTTTGGGAGTGGGCGTACTGTGTCACATGATTTTGACTCGGGATCAGTCACAGAAAACAGAAAACAAAATCAGAATGTGTGTTTGGTGATTCAGAGTAGCATTGTCTCCTGCAAGGCAAAGGCTTCCGCAGGGTGCCTGTAGTGTTGGCCTCCGAACACTGGAGGGAGCTGCTGCCTCGGCAAAATCTGCTGCTCCTGATAATGTGTCCTGTAGTGGTGGAGTCTGTCTGGGCTAGGAGGGTAGGAAAACTGCTCATGGGGGGACAGCTGTGCCTTGTGGAAGCTGGGAGATCTGGGAATATTTCCCCGGGGGTGCAAAACGTCTGGTGCAGGTCCCCACTGCAACCCCCAGCCCCTGTGCTGCTGATCCTCCAAGTGAGGGGGCAGCCGGTCTGCCCTCCTGGGGGCCTCATGCCCACTGTGGGGCAGAAGGTAAACTGGTGCTTTAGTCACCCTAGGGGGCGCTCTTGTATAGGCAAGAGTACCGTCCGGCTGTGCATATGCACTCTGTCCCATAGGAATCCTTGTGGCGTGACCAGCGTGTGGGGGGGATGGCTGCCGATAATTAGTGTAGGAACTGTTGGCAAGGACCTGGTCAGGTGAGAAGCTGGCGGGCACGTTCAGGTTAGTGCCATACAGATGCTGCTCCGGGGGTATGGCTTCAGGGGGTGCCGGGTTTATCCTGCGCGGACGCTCTGCAGGGTGGTATTTCATGGAGGCGTTGTACTCCAAAGAGCGTCCGTCCCGTCGAGCGTCCTGCTGCACGGGAGCACCGTGGTACCGCCGGGGACTGCTGGGGATGTGTCGAGGAGTTTGACCCATGGGTCCAGGGCCCACATTGTCCAGGGGCAGCCCAAGCCTCTGTTGGCCAGTGCTGGTTCTGACTGTAGTGCCACCGGTCCAGATTGGGCCCTGCCTCAGCTGTGCCTCACCATGCAGGACCTGGGGTCGCGGGATCTCCACGACGTTAATCTCCGAACCCGGGACGTTGTCATACTGTGAGCCGTTGGAGCCCCTGTTGGATTCGGCTGCAAAACCGCTGGACCGTAGCCGGGTCTGTCGCTGAAAGAACTGGCTTTCGTCCATGATGGAGGGAGAGTGCGACGGTGTGCTGCTCTGGCTGTAGAACACCCCGTGGCGCTTGCTGTACTCAGTGCCGGCCGACATAGCTGCTTCAAGCTTGGTCTCAGAGGGCTTCACCCAGCGTGGGGTGATATCTCGGATGCGAGTATTGGTCACTCCGTTGGCTGTGGCGGGAGTACTGCTCGGTCCATTCTGTGCTGGTGGAGAAGTAGTAGAGATGGGCATCGATGGAGGCTTCGGGGCTTCCGGCTCCCCCGATGCCCGGGACCGGGCCTCCTTCTCGCTCCTGTGCTGTCGCACCATCCTCTCTAACGAGTCCCTCCTGGCCTTGCTGTTGGGCCGGCCTTGCCTCAGCTGCTCCGGCTCTGCCTTTGCAACTGCCTCTGGACCCGTCCGCGGACTCTCATCTGGACCGGCTTCAGACCCAGCCACCGAACTCGCCCCATCTTGTCCCATCCCGGGAACAGCTTCCAGGCCCTTCTCTGGGGAAACGCTGACTGCTTTCTGGTCACTCTCAGCTTTGCCACGGTGACTCTGACCGTTGACTAGGTGGTCGGTGGTGGAATCGGGTGGGAGCTGACCCAGTGGCTTCCTGGGAAATTCTTCCTCCTTACCTGCGCAAGCAGAACCACAGAGGACAGAGTCATCGTTACATTAGATTTTTAGAACCGAGAATACAGGTTCAAAACACACGAGTACATCATGCATCAACAGAACTTGGGAACAAAAGGAAAAGAGACAGAAAGATACATCCATCCATACAGAGACAAATGGTAAGATGGTGAAACATCTAGATCAGTGTAAAAACTTTCAATGTGCACCTTCACACACCTGTAGAAGCACTCACACATATTTATAACTTAAAGACAGCACCTGACTGATCACAAATCCTTGGGATAAATAAACAGTGACAAAGGAAACTCAAAATACAGTACATTCCAAAGAGAAACAGGCACTAATGTTCTTCACTGTTAGACCAAAACAGAGTTCGCCACATCCCTCCACAGAGACCCAAGAGACGTGATTAGACCAGAGCGCTCCACATTCCGACAAGCACCGGGGTGGGGGGGGTGGGGAGGATAACGACGTCAGAGTCACGTGACACATGGGCAGTCAATGGCGATGAAGCTGCTGTGACGGCTGTCCGGCCAAGAACTTCAACCACAACAGAGCCGTGCAGGACGGACAGGAAGTGCTATGAGTTTAACATCAGCAGGTCATGCGAGGTGGGGGGGGGGTGGGGGTGGCAGCACACGAAACACCTACACTCTCACAACATTCGCCCAGTCCACCACTCACCCCCCAGTACTGTGACCAGGCCAACCTGCAGAGAGCGGAGGGAGTTGTTGGAACGCGTCCTGGACTATCAAGCACCCCTGGCTAATATATTTAACAACACTTAGTGTAGTGTGCGTGTCAGGGAAGGGCTTTGGGCAACTGTCAACAATACCTGTGTGCTACCATGGCAACCAGGTGCCAGGCTATCAAAGTAGCACTCAAACGATGGAACTCGTCTGTGACATGAAAGACGGACATGGCAACTGGAGTTAGCTGGTGTCTTTCAGAAGGAAAGGGATTCTGCAAGCCGGTGATACCACCAACATGAGGATGGATGCAGGAGCTGTGATGAATTATGAAAATCAAAATTTGTGTTTATGAAGGTGGGGGGGGGGGAGTGTCAGTGTTGGACGGGGGCTGCGCTTTCTGCAAGACAGGCCTGGATACGCTGACATTTCCGAGGGACAGAACAAGTAAACCAGCTGCGATGGTCTGACATTGACGCGCTAACAGGCCATTTCGACGGCAAGATCGGGATGACGTTGAGGCCCCTGGAGGGTGGGGCATGGGGGGGCCCACTGGGGAGGGGGGGGGGGGATGTGACGGACACATGGACACAGAGGCTGGAGGTGCCACGCGGGCATGCCCACCGGTTGGCGCTGTTGGGGGTGGCAGGGGCTCTGCTCACGCCCCCTGTTTTGTAGGCTAGACGACAGAGTCGGGAAACGACGGCAGGATGGGAGACAGAGCAAGAAGATTAATCACAGAGAGGCCTTTGCAACCGAGAAGACATTCAGACGCTGCGTTCTCAGGGTGTGCAGGGGGTGTGTGTGAAGGCGGACGCTGGATCAACGGCCTTAATCGCGCCAAGTAGGCTGTCTCCATTAGCTCAATCCCACAGCGGCCTACGACAGACCCCCCCCTTATCCCTATAAGACCTTAAGCAAGATGACCATTATGACAAGAAGCTTTATTTATGCTGGACCTGTACCAAAGTTAGGAAAGGAGGGGGCTGGTGGTGAATTTACTAATCCAGTAGATCATCCCACTGTACAGTGGATTATGGGCTACACTGCAAAGTGAACACTACGGAAGATATATAGTAGACATCAAACAGCCCAAGAGATTGAGTGGCCAGTGACTTGGACCAGGTTGAGATGCGTAAATGCGTTTCACCTGAAATCGATTGGCTAGCTATTCAGTGGGGGGTGGGACATAAATCGGCCAATTAGCAGAAAGAAGAATCCAGCTGGCAGAAAGGAAAGGTGACTACTGGACAGCAGGTGGAGGGTGGGCGGGGTCCTTTAAGAGCAAGCCCTTCACAAGCAGAGTGACTGGTGCAGAGGAGGTGTGTCCCCAAGGAGTGCGGACTCTTACCCGGCGTGGGCAGCTCCAGCTTGGCCCGTCGCAGTTCAGACATGCAGTTTTGCAGCTGCTCGATAACAGAGTCGTCCTCCATGAAGAAGTCTTTGGACAGGGTGATCTGCAGGAACTCCACCAGCTCCTCCATGGATAACTTCAACAGCTGCTCTGCTCAGAAGCACAAAGGTTTGGGCAGGTATGACACAAAAGGTACGTACTGGTGCGTCACATGGTTATATAATGCAGAGAGACACAGAGATACACCGCTGTATTCAGACATGAGGCAGGGACGAATTGCAGGCCTGGGATCAATACACACAGAGATAAGTGAGAGAGAGACAGACAGAGAGCGAGAGACAGACAGAGAGCGAGAGAGAGACAGACAGAGAGCGAGAGACAGACAGAGAGCGAGAGAGAGACAGACAGAGAGCGAGAGACAGACAGAGCCGCCCCCATCCTTCCATGACCTACTTGGCACCACAATGCAATGCAGGTAAGATCAAAATGCAACAGCAGCGCCCAACTACTGCAGCCTGGGTGCGGAAGAAAAACCACCTCTGACCTCTTTACACCATTAAGCCATTAAGCCGGGGACAGTTTCAGAAGCACAGCACAAATTCAGTGCCCAAATGATCCGGAAAAGATGACAGACATTTAATAGGACTCATCTGGCATTTATACAATGTAGCCATTGAGTCATAATTAATGATCAGACCTTGTTGACCTTTGAGGGATGGAAGACCGTATTTTAGACAGTCATCATATAGCAAATGTAAGGCCAGCTAATGGGTCTTGAGGAACCTGATACAATTTAGCAGATCTTGAGGAACATGTAAAACTTTTGTGGGTTCTTGAGAAACGCCCCACTTTTCTGGAGCTCAAAGAACATGGAAGACCTTACAATTTAAACTTCAGGGCCATGGAGGATCTTACTTCTGTGAATCTTCAGGATCGTGTAGGACATGGCTGTCAGCACCCGCTCCCCTTCCAGGATGTAGACATCCCACAATCTGAGCGTCAGCGTGAACGGGGCCTGGGGGGCACAAAGCGGCCAGTGTCTCACACCACACGTGATGTCAGAATGACATCACAACAGATGATGAACAACACTGAAGGATTCTCCAAGGGAAAGAAACGAAGATGAAGCCCAAGACTCATCAGAATAAACTGGAGGCTCTAATGCAGAAAGGGAGGGGGGGCAGCGGGCTAAGACTCTGTGCCTGTGATCAGAAGGTCGCCGGTTTGAGTCCAGCCTGGCCAGAACAGTCATGACTCAAACCCCCAGCTCGATTACCAAGCTAGCTCTCACCTACGTGTGTCTGTGTGTCATGGAGAGCAAGATGGGGTAGGCAAAAAGAATTTCCCCATGTTGGGCCCAATAAAATGTCATTATTATTATTATTATTATTATTATTATTATTAAGACCACCTACTCTGTCTAGGAAACACTGAAAGAACCACTTCATGGTGTACAAACTGGTAAACACTTCTTGACTGTCCTGAGGGAAGGAAAAAAAAAGAACAAATTATGAATAAAATCTCCTAAGCATGATAACAGGTCTTAAGCTCCTAAACAGTGTATTTGTGTTGCGATCACAGTTCAGCAGCTATGAGACCACAGGCTAGGCTGTCAAACTCAGCCCTGATCACGTCAGAATGTGAACAGGTTCTGTCAAACGAGTGCAACTTGACCAGGAGTCCTGATCTGTAGCACCCCTGCGCTCACACCAAGGCCCAGCTGCACTCTGTATTTCCCCATGACCTGCTCACCAAATGCTGCTTCAGTTTGGGCAGCATCTTTTTTAGGACGCGGTCATGGTGCTCCTGGAACCTCAGCAGCTTGGGGAAGCCAGGAACAAAGAACCCTGAATGATGAAAGGTCAAAGGTCAGGAGTCACCGTGCAGTCACACGCTCAGTCTGCGGCGTGTCTGATCCTCGGTGTGGCCATACGCACCGTGCATGGCGTGCTTCTGCCCGGACAACAGCTTGACCAGGGCCCAGAAGGCGTCCTCCTCGTTCATGTAGATGAGCAGCAGGGCGGTGATCTGACTCATACCCTGGCAGTAGCCGACTTCCTGCAGGGATGGGAATGAAGCCAGCGTTTGATATCTACCTCCTCCACTGATGCACCTGTACATCGTATGTCAATCACGCTTGGGTAACCAATGAGGGCACTCACTGTATTGTAAACCGAGTAGGCTGTGAGGACATGGAACAGAGCTTGCTGCCTGCAGAAGAACAGTAGAAGCATGACTTTATAGTCCCTACCAGCCAGAGTGAGTAACAGTATAAGAGTGCACCACCAAAAACAAGTGGCCCAAGTTTACTCTACTCCCAGTGATGCCTTGCTCTGACGGCCAGCTTGATTAGATTGTAAATGCGAATGTAATTGGCAGTGTTGCCATACGGAATTTCATCTATTCTTCCATCCAGTTTCTGTAACTGCTTGTCCTATTCTGGGTTGCGGGGGGTACAGAGCCTATCCCGAGGCTATGGGCACAAGGCAGGGAACAACCCAGGATGGGGCGCCAACCCAATGCACGGCACACTCACACACCAGTCACTCATGCATGCACACCAATAGGCAATTTGGCAATTCCAATTAACCTCAGCATGTTTTTGGATTGTTGGGTGAAACCTGGAGGAAAACCCCATGACGACATTGGGAGAACATGCAAACTCCACCCACATGGGACCCTGGCGGAGACTCGAATCCTGGTCCCGGAGGTGTGAGGATACAGTGCTAACCACTGCCCCACCGTGCCAGCCCACACAAATTCAGGATCTCCCAAACATCAACCTGATTCGACTAGCCGTACAGGGCCCGATCCTCTGAATGAGCAAGGTCACTGGGCCCCTTGGGGAGGTGATTTATCATGCATCTCGTGCTCAGACAGTCAGATTCGGCACGTACTTGACGTCGTAGCGGTTCATAAACATGATGTGGTCGCGGTATGTGCGATTCACATCCAAGTCAATCTGCCGGATGTCGGGGGACATCGTTCGGGCTTTGAGCTTCAGTTTCTGAGGGAGAGGAGGGTGCAGATAGGAGAGAAGGACAGAAGTGTTGCGTGTTAAAAAATTACAGTTACGAAGAGTTTACGATGTTTATTTTACCTTATGTTTCTAACACAGACAGATCAGAGTGCTGATCTTCCGGTACCTCATAATAGTCTTTCTTCTCTGCCTTCATCTTGGGCACGTCCAGCAGGAGACCCCAGACCTCGCCCCGGAGCTGCAGTGGGATGCCCTTGTACACCCTTTTCACCAACTATGAGACAGAAACACGCCACATCACCCAGCGAATCGCAAGCCACCGACTCACCTCCTCACGCCCTGCTGATGTCTCGAGTCCACAGGCGGGTGTTAATTGTCCCATAAGGATACGTTGACAGTCACACAGAGGGGAAAAGAGCCCCGAGCAACAAATTAAAATAACCGCTGACTGACAAATGGCCGGACGTGGCGCAGTGAATGTCGGCATTGCTGAGGACCCTGCGAGCCCCAGAAGGAACATCACTAGCATTGGCTAACGTGTGGAGCTGGTCCACCTGGCAAAAGCAAACTAAACGGCTGCTTGTGGACCTAGAAAAATCAGGAGCCCCGACCAAGGGATCATCAATCCACCGGCCCCCCCCGCTCCCCCAACACCACCCCACCTGGCAAATTTTACCTGCCCCTGGCAAGGGCCTACAATTCGATTCAAATTGTGCTTGGAGATGATCTGAGCAGGGAGCATCAAACTGTGCACGATTACATGTATGTGAGACGTCATCTCCATTTGCTTGGCCACACTTAATACCCAGGTCCATGGTTGTTGTCATCAGTCCTGGTTCATGTTGATTTGGAGGGTTGTGATTACCAGAACCACAAGGAGAAAGTTGCTCCAGAGCAGGACACTATCAGAACTGTTCTTACCAAGTTTACTTATTTAGCAGATGCTTTTACCCAAAGCGACGTAGAATTCAGAAAGCAGGGTCACCCAATCCCTGGAGCAATAGGGACTTTGCACAACGTGCCAATGGTGACGTCACTGTTAGCCCTGGCATTTAAACCGCCGACCTTCTGATCACGGTCCGAACCTGCAGAGCCTCAGATATTGGGTGTTTCTCAATACCAAGGATGCAAAGATCGTACTTGTGGTCTTAGCCACAGTGGTCTTGCTAACTTGCCTTCCAAGAAAAACCTTGGGGGCGCAATGAATCATGGGATTGGTCTCGTTCGGCAAGGATGTAACCGATGCATCCTTGATATTTGGGGCAGGGTAAGAACGACATCTGGGGATTTTTAACGTCCTCTGCACTTCTGTTCTTGAGAATTGGAACTGCTCTCTGGCAATGGAAGACGACGTATAACGGGTACATGAGACCACACGTAAGGTCAAGTACACATATTGAGAATCAATCATTGTCACTGTAATGAATAATAACAGCACAAGCAGTAGATCCAGGTTAAACAGAAACGGTGGAGAATGACATGAACTCCTGCTCATTATGGCCTGCAGAAGGGGCCAGTGTTGCAGGAGGTGGAACTTCTGCCTGCTCACCTTCTCCGTATTTTTATATTTATCCCAGCTCTTCAACATCTTCAGCCATTTTGTCGTTCTCTCCATTTCCAGGTGCTTTTGCTATAATGGACAAAACATCTGGGTCATAAGAACATTATTATGGCTGTGTTGGGGACAATCACACGCAGAAACAAACCGCCACACTTCAGGGTTGATTTACCCCCCGTGCGTCATATTCAATAAAAAATGTTGTCAGGGATAGACTGAGTGAGCTGCAGAGGGTGATATTTACCTTTTCTTCCATAGAATCAGAGGATGGAAGTTCAATCTCACTAACATGGAGGATACACAAGTGGGGGCGGAAGGGAAAGAGGGAAACGAACATGAATACGCACCAACCAAACTGCCGTGAGACACCAATCATAGTCACAACCGTAAGTGAACCGACTCCAATCAGTTCCCAATGGGAAACATGTTTGTGTCAATTTATGGCAGGAGGGCACTAAAGATGATGGTTGTAATTCTCTGGTATGTCTTGAATGTGACACCGTCTTTTATCTTTTATAAAGGGACTTAAAGATCATAGGGATAGTGGATAAAAGGCAGAGTTTGTATTTGACTGTCCACTTTATCCTCATGCAGCTGCCAAAACCAGGAAATGGGAGACATTCCCTAAGAGGGTTTTTGGTCCTCGTTTGCCGCTTTAAAGCCGTTTTAACCTCCAGATGACCCTCATCTACTGACCCACCAGTGAACCACCACCAGTCACATCTCCTAAACCTGCCTAGCAGTCAGGCTAGTCTCAAAGAGCTTAGAGAGGTATTCATTCCAGGATATCAGAGTCATAACGCACAGGGTGACGTCTGGGACGTCCCATCCCACAGCAGCCCCCAGCCTGAGGTAACATCCTCTATAATACAAGCCCGTGGATGAGAACTTCCTGTCTAAATCCACCACCCAAGATCAAAGCAAACCCAGAATTACGTTAAATTCTTCTCCGTCCTCCTGACTTAGCTCTGCTCTTTCACATTCCTTTCCATATCCTTATGTTATGAAGCATTGGGGTCTTAAGCCACAAGTGTCAACTCAGAAATTACCCAGAACCCCCTTGACGCACAGTGGCACTTCAAAGTGATCCAAATCTGAGGCTGTCCCATTCAAAACGCACTTTTTCAGGAGTGTATGGCATTAGCGTGATATATATACACAGATGTATATCATTAGCGTGATATATATACACAGGAATCCCATAAGTTAAGATGTACATAACCAAGTACTGCCACATAACTGCCCATTACATCTTTTCCAGAGCTACTCTGTCTGGGAGAAGCTTTAAGTAATTCTCAGAGTGCTTGATGGACATTTCATAGAGATGTTTGAAATGCACCACTTACTGTAGGAAGCCAAACCTATCGATGACCTTGTACAGACGGAAGTTTGCATCTTCCCATGGTTCCACTTCAGTGCCATCTTTGCCCTAAAATAATATACGTTTTTAAGTGCTCATAGTTTAATGGTTACAGCATGATGCATAGTTTTCATTACTCTTCTTTCTGCAGAGAGACTATAACTCAAGATAAGATGGAACTTTATTAAAAACTCAAAAGGACAGAGCCACTCTTTTCAGAGTTTATTTTTAAACATTTAAATACCTCTGGGGGTAGCATTCTAAGTGGACGGTAACGTGGTAACAATCTTAACAATCTAGAAAGATCTGGAAAGATCTGCGGAGTCACCAGGAAGGAGATTCCGGCCCATGCCGTTAATGACCACCATGACTCTCCTGGCCAATCACAGAACCCCAGAGATCTGCCCACAGTGGAGAACTTACCTTATCATATTTGGCCACAATCTCTGCCCGCTCTTGTTCAAGCTTTATCACTGCATCCTGCTCTGCCTCAGAACCTGTGAGGAGATCCAAACAAGGTCAGTTATCTTCATCATCATCAGCCAATAATCACCCACTGCTTGGATCAGAATTGTAGTGGTGTGAATACGACTGCTCACGACTGACCGATGGGTGGTGAGTATCAGCCTAACCATGGTGCACTAGACACTAGGTCTTTTCAACAAGCATCCCACCCCCAGGTCTCAATCAGACTGTAGCAACAAGCCCTGTTTAGGAACCAAAGAACAGGCAGATCTTTCCCTCGCCCATTCCACTTTGGTGGGTGCCAAAACTCTCTCTTTGATCTTAATCCAATAAAAACATTACAGGCCAACAGCAGCCATCACACATTCCAGAAAGGGCTAGATTTAAACAGGCCTTAGTTCCAGACAATAGGGCGTTTGACTGCTGATGGTGTCCTGCACCTTTACACCCACGTCCAAGGATTCTGTTCTTCTGAGAACAAAGACAGCAACTCATACAGAGTATAAAGACAAATGGAAGTAAAACAGAAAATGAGCCATTATATGTAAAATAGGCTATATAAAAACTAGGGGAATGTTTCAGAAGCATGCAAGGAAATGTCTGGTGACACGTGGTTAGAATTGAGGCGTCTTTAAGTGTAAGTTACTCAGGGGATGCTTTTATCCAGAGCGTCATACACGTTTGAGAAGCAGGATGAGAGAGTAGCCGAAGCACATAGAGGACCTTCTCAAGGGCCAACGTTGGGATTTGTACGAACAACCTTCTCCGGGCCTGGATTCCGGCTTCCCGTTTCCACGGTGCCGTGGAATAAACAGGTAAGACAGAAACATCTGAAGCTGAATGTGCTCCAGATGCTGCCCTGCTCAGCGACGCTGGCACTCGAGGGCCGCGGGTCCCAGGGCCGCGGGTCCCGCCACACACAGCTACCACCCTGCTGTCTTTGCCCCTCTCACACCTCTAGCTTGATTTACCCAGCCGCTGCGTTTCCCTTGCGGACAGGATCAGCTACATCATACTTCAGCTCTGCTTAGTTGATATGCACAGGAAGAGTCCAGCATGATCCTTGCGGACACAGCGCTCTGACTACAAGCAACTTTCTGGGAGCACCGCTCCGCCATCGCTCTGCCTTTCATGGTTTTCCAAGGTTAAAAATGCTCCGCAGTTGATCTTCTAAAGATTGAGCCGGTGTGGGTCTGGAAGCCTCAGGAAACTGACATTTGAAGCATGGTTGAAGCTGACATTTGAAGTACTGCAGAAAAACAAAAGTGCCTCACGAGAGCCATTTGGAAAAAGAAAGAGGAAAAAAACTGAAGCTAAGCCCTTAAGCAGAAAGCGCACCGAGTGAGCATTTTAAGCAGCATCACACACGGGCTGACAGACCTATGCTTGATACGTCCACCAGAGCCATTCCGAACGCTAACTAGATACTTCAGTGTTCTACACAGATGTTGGTGACCTGAGAGATTTTTCTCAACCTGTACATTAGCAGACTAAGGCCTACCTTTACTCAAGCTTTCAAAACGCTCCACAAGACATCCCTGAACTCCAGTCCACATTGATCACAGCAAATTGGAAGACACCTCCAAGGAATTAAAAGAAAACACAGAGACCTTCAGCCACGAAGATCCAAGACTATCATAAAAC